CTTTGTGGTGTCGAATGTTTCGAGTTTGGCCTGAGACATGATATTACGCCATTTTCCATTCAGGACAGCGTCGAAACCTTCAACTAGATCGTAGTCATATTCGAAGTCGGCCAAAATCTGATGAGCGAGGGCGTTTGCCGAGTTCCTTCGCTCCATAGCATGTCGGTAGTTCATTCCAGTGCGAACGTTTACTGCGTAGTATGTGGCGCCCGATACTAGGGGATAGAACAGTAGCTCGTAGAATGCGGCTTTGTGATCGTCCGGCATCTGATCGTATAGTGTTCTGGTTCGGCGCGCAAGCGTGTTCCATCTTGTCAGGACCGTTTCCGCTTCATGATAGTTCAGTACTGAATACGTGTCTGGTTGAACCATCTCAAAGCGGCGCATTCCAATAAGATGGTTGAACTCCATCAGCAGAGCCGCAATATCATCTGCATGTTCTATGCCGAACTCCCTCTCGGCGTAGAGGCGCAGATACTCCGGTATCGTATCGAAGTCGAACTTTGAGATATCCCAAGCTAAGTCCATAGCGAATCCAAAGGGTAACTCCAAAGGCTTGATATCACCGACATTGATGACCCAAACCTGGTTCGCGTCGCGCCAGTAAGCTTGCAAAAGCTCTTTCAACACTTTCGACTGCGTCTGTTAGGAAAGGATTGATCATGCAAGCTGCGCATACTGACCAAGCTGTTGGTATTTGACCACTTGTACGATCGCGGTCTACCAAAATACTCGAAATGAAAGTAAACGCCAGCGCCGCCTTCCCTGACAGTCTCGTTACCAGTGGGTAAGCGCAGAATCTGGCCATGGTTATCATCGGGCATGATGATAGTGACATCATCGGGAGGGTTAAGTCCAGCTGCGTAATAAGTCGCCACTTCCTTATATATCGTCCATGCCTCTACACTTTGTCAGCGTGGCCTAAACCCTGTCTTAATGATTCCTCTTACGGTTCACTTTCTGATCACCTAGTACTTCTTTGAAGATCTGACGCTCGACTTCAAACACTTCTCGAAGTATCTCCAAGGCGTCGTCTCCAACTATCGCACTATCACTTGGGCCGCGCATACCCAGCGTCACGTAACTCTCGTTGTTTCCCATTCTGCGAATACCCTCTTCCATAAAGCGCGTGACGTTGTCCTTGTTCAACCTCCAATCCCAGGGCCCGGTCTCAGTTGCGTTCCACTCATTGGTGGCTCTTTGCATTGGCTCGTGATGGCTGGTAGAGATTACGATACCGTAGTCGTTTGCGAGCTGCTGATTCCCTGGGTCATCTGTAAAGAAGATTTGACCTGGGGCCGGTGTTGTCGACCCCCACATGGCAGGCCATAGGTAGTTTGCTTTCAACCGGAGTAGTAAATCGAACACGTGGGCGTAGAACTCGGTGTCGAGAGGATAGTGAGAGGAGTTGTGTCGTGCAGCCCACCATGTTACTAATGCCGGTGCTTCGTCGTTGATGAAGAGACCCCTGTATTTGACTGATGGCGGGCCATGAACAGTGACTTTTGGCAGTGCGAAGATGGCGGCGTGTTTCTTCGTCGGCACATCCGCCCACCAATGGTATCTGTCGCAACCCATCAGTTCACGGTCAGAAATGCACGATAGAAGCACTTACGGAGACTGCCCACTTTGTTCGGCAAGCGTGTGAACACCAAAAATAGTACCGCGCTTATCGCTGCCTACAATTACCAGCGCCCGTTCCACTCCGGCTATTGGATCAGCGATCACAGCCGTTTTGAACACCTCCCACTTCCCCTCAAGATCTGATATGTCAAGACCTTTCTCGGAGGACAGGTGACGGATGAGTCTCGAACCCACCGAGCCGACGACGATGCCCGTTGATGAAGTCGAAAATGTAGAGTTAGTAGTGGCGTTACTGAGCGCGGGTCGGGTTCCAGTGATCTGCTCGAAGTCGTTCACCAGGCTGTTTAGCGCAATGTGGATACCCACGAAATCATCTGCGTCAGCTATCACGGTAGCGCCAGCAACATCCAAGGCTTGATCTCCAGGCTCGAAGCCCACGAACTTCTCATCGAGCAAAGCATGCGCCGTGTATTTCGAACAGGCACAGAAGGCCGCAAAGATCTTCACAGCCCGCATCGCTGAAAGACGGGAAAGGTGTGTATGCTCCCACTTGAGCTACGAGGGATCAGTCTGGACATTATATCGACAACGTCGGTGTAATGAAGACTGCGCGGGGAACTCCCCCGTAATAGTAATCCTTTCTGCGGAGGATCTCCAGCCGCATCAGAATTTCCAGCATCCTCATGCGAGCGATACGAAGTTCCCCAGCTCTTGGCTATACAGCGGAGGGGCATGCTCCTCCTTCGACTGCATGCTGGGGCAACCAATGTGATCGTCTGGGGTCGCTAAACCCAGGGCGGGGTACAATATGTCTGTCGAATCTTTGAGCTCGGGTCAAAGCCATCCGCGACCGAACAATGAGGGTAGCGTAGATCGCGTACGCTGCATCGTAAGATGGCTGCATCTTCGATGGGAGCAGCAAATGCGTGGGCGCGACCGCGTGTCTAGCGCGTCTTCTCCGCACTGCGCTGGATAGTTGATGCTAGTCGAACTCGGGTACTATCATGGTAATGAATGAGCGGTTTGCGATGAAAAAGAGTTTGTGATCACAGTAAAGCCTAGCGGTAATCTTCCTTAGTAGTTGGGAGCTATCAAGTACATAGGATGGAATCGCGTTGCCGGCTGATGACGTCACGTGTTCTAGCGCCGGGCACGCTTCACGCCGACTTAGCGAGCCTTCCAAGCTGGGGGTCGCAGAATCCAAACGCGTCCTTCCACTGCCTAACACATTTTATCAGCATCCGCATCCCAAAAATGTTCTTGCGGTGTCTTTGCGCTATGCCTGCACTGTCATGAGTCATCTGTATTTATTCTGAGTTTGTTTCGCAAGACCTGGGATTCGTCGCATTACGCCGACAGACCATCTCAATGGCCAGCCCGAACCAAGACCAGGCCGCCGTCTGAGTTAACGGCGCACTCTATTCTTATTTGATATCGGAGCGCTATGCTTCGTGTGTATTGCAAACTCCACAGCGACAGCTAACAAAACACCATATCAACTACCATGTACTGTTACCCGATCTGGGCCTCGAGAAGCAGCTCGGCCCGCTGCACTTCAAGTCGAAGAAGTCCATCACCGTATCGGCATCCGTCGGGATATCATGCGTTACACTCCCTGCCTCGTACGCTTCGAACTTGTCGCCATACCGAAACCTCGTCCATCCTTCGAAAGGAACGTCCTCCGTAATCTCCGTCGGTTTCTGGCTCACATCAAACACGCTCGTCCACTGTTTGATCTGCTCGCGGAAGTTTTGTGGATACAGTACGGTGTCTGCTGTGCCGTGGAGAGTTTGGAACTTCGGTCGAAAGCCGCGATACGTGGGATATGCGTTGCGCACAAGAGCTTGCCATTGCGGTCCGTTCTTGACGATTTGGCCTCTAGCACACGCGTCACTCCAGACGTCGAAGCCGTCGCCAGCAAAGCAGCCGAAGGGTACACCGGCCCATGCGCTTCCCGCTGCGAATACATCTGGATAACTACCAATAAGGACTGGGGAGGTACGAAGTCAGCGTGTGTCTTACATGCATCTCATGCAGTCCCGACTTACCGTTGGTCATCATCGCGCCTGAACTTGTTCCGGTAACGAAGACGCGGTCTTTGTCTGCATGGTACTTTTCCAAAGTCCAGCGCACCATGGATACAATGCCTAGCGCGTCGCCTCCTCCGTTGTGGGTGAGCGACTCTTGGCTACTCACATCCCAGCATTGATCCGTATTCAGCGTTGAAGCATTGGGATAGATCGAGATAAACCCATATTCGTCACCAAGCGAAGCCCAGGGCCGGTAATCGAAGACCTGCTGGGCCGTACCTAAAGATGAGTGCAGAAGTCAGTGAATGTCTCGTAGACAGTTCGTACACGGGATAATCCCACCATGGCACCAATGGGGAGACACCAAGATCGGGGGATTTGGCGGCAGGTTGGCCGGCACGTAGATGAACATCGAGACGTTGCGCGGGTTAGGGCCGAAGTCGGTGATCTCCGTGAGCTTGGAGGTGAGCTGCGCGGATGCCACAGCTGCGAAGAGCACAGGCAACATGGAGTTGAGGGCGAACATGGTGTCGACTGAGATGAAGGTTAACCAACCTAGTTCCGGAGTCCCTGCACCATGGAAGCTTCTTATAGCTATCCTCGACCGGAGTTCCACAGAAGCAAGTAGTACGGCGATCTATTCTGTACCTGTCTCCAGCGCCGGGTACATGGCGTTGCAGATCGCACTGCTGCGTACATCTGAGCATGCTCTACGTACCAACCATCCGCCTAGCCCTATCACGACACGGAGGAGAACGTATATTAACCAGCATCTATCCCGCGATATTTCTCCGCAGCTATCACCCGTTAGCGTCAATTCCAAGCCTTGGACATGTCGATACCATGCAGACGCCGGAATGCCCAGATCACATGCTATAGGCTCGACGCTCTAGTTTGTGCGAGAGCGCGGACGTGCCAAGCATACAGTGGACTACTTATCGTCGCGCAATCATTCTTTCTTCCAGCATGGTCACTGTGAAACGCCCCTGCGACCGCAATCGGGATTTCACAGCGTGCGATTCATGTCTTTTTATGGAACAGACGACTCCACTGGCACGATATATTTATCCCCCTTCACAATGTCACAATACATCGCGATATGGCCTCGATACGTAAATACCTCGAGTATGTCTGTTCTGGTCAGGAGGGAGTTATACTCTGGATCAACCGGAGGTCTTGCTACCATTTTCTCACATCGCAACAACCATGTCACCCTTGACACAAAATGAAGTCTTCCAACAAATACAGCAAAAGGCTAAGCGCAAGCAACACGAAAAGATGGCGTTTACGTCTGGCGTTGTCACTAGGCTGCTGAAAGACTTATACAATCCAGATCTACAGGGCAGCCTGTTCTTCTCAAGAACCGCTATGGTAATAGTTGGTGCCTCATCGCTTCAGCCGCGCAGAGCGACGCGTTCCTGGGACAACGTTCTCTTTAAAATCATCGTCCTTGTCACTTTGACCAAAGGTCCAGCTTTGCTCGTCTTCATCTTCGTCGTCTTCGTCCTCGAAGATCTCTACGTGTTTCTATTCACATGTGTTAGTATCTTGTCATATTAGATATGTGTCTTCACGAGCGATTGAACATCGAAGAGGCTGTTGTTCTCATGTGCAGAAGAGTAAAAATTACCTGGGGCTTTTTGTTGCCCACACGCCGTTTCTTCTTGCATTTCGCCGCCTTCTTCACCGCGGGAGCTTTGCGGCGTTGCGCAGGCGCGCGTACGGATTGTACAACTAATTTGATAAGTTAGTTGTCTTTCGACACTTACAAGATTGCAATCGTAACCAATAATGAAACTGGTAAATCTTGGATGTCTAAAACCTGAAGTAGGTGTTTGAAGGGGGTGAAGTAAAACTGAGGGCCCAGGCTTCAGGAGCGTAGTGGAGATGTATCAGGACGCCATTCAGGTTGACTGACTGTGGTATAGTATGCTGTGATGCATGGGAGAGAGTATACCTTGTTCTTTCTCTTCTTCTTGTTCTTCTTCTTGTTCTTCTTCTTGTTCTTGTTCTTGTTCTTCTTCTTCGGCGGCGGCAGCGGTCTCTTCTTCTGGGCGTGCGCCTACGTGTGGATTAGTACGGATGCAAGCGCATCATGTTCGAGTCCGCAAGAGCGCACCTAGTACGAATTCTATACCAGAGTTAGTACGCTTATCATATGTTTTAACAGATCAGCACTGGACGTGGTGCCAACAGTAGAACAACGTCTCAAACCCTTCGTGCTTGGAGCTAGTACTGGGATTGAGCATGAAGATCCTTAAAACTTTTCCTAGCTCAATCATACTGGGGTATTGGAGAGATGTATGAGAGGGCAATATGTGACATACCAAACCCTTGGTCATCGGGGCCAGGTTCTAGCCGTTCTACGGCTCGAGCCAGTAAGCTGGTACCTGTTACGGAATAGCTACATACATCATGTCAGTAAAGTGTTTCGTCTCGTGTACAATGGTCTGACATAGTATCACTCACCTCATCTTCGCTGGCGTTGAGTGAAAAGAATGAGGTGAGTGACTGCATGTTGAGGCTTGCCCCGCCGTATCCACGTGCCACGCTACTAAGTGAGGAAGTCGCGATGGGGAAGGCACCACAGCGAACAAGATGACGCTCAACTACAGTGCGACAACATGAATCCAAACACATGTCTGCGTTATCAACAACGTGCTCGCATCACCTACTCTTGGATGCTGGAGGCTGTCCAAGTATGGTAGGGTCGTGCACTTTGCAAACTGGCTATGAATTGTAACCCTACGCATCACAAGCCACCTCACTCAACTATCAAATATAAGAGAATAGCCGCGCGTTTCTTTGTTTCTTTACGGGACGGACCGGAGTGATGACGTTCGCGGGAATTATTTTTGATCATGTCGGTTCTCAGTCGTCATCTTTGACATCGTCAATGGGAATTGGAGTGAAGAAGTCTGCGGAAAAAGATCCAAATTTCAGCTATCTCAATGAACAATAACACACACAGGTTATTGGAATAAGCGCTTTGGCTGCCCTTGCCCCAACCCGATACGCCGGGTACTGTCTTTCAGTGTGCACGAGGCATCGGCGAAAAAGTACGACTGTAAACTACGAGTCTCCGAGCGGGAAGAGAAATTTCCCCCGATGTCTTTCCGACAGATCAAAGGTGAGGCACTGAAGCCCGTATAGCAGCTCATGACTGAAGCTAAACACCTGAAGCTCGCATAAATAACTATAAAAGAGAACCACAAAGAAATCCATACCCATACTCGCCATTCTGCCCAGATGTGTCCTAGAGCTGTGTCAAAAAAACAATGAGCGAGAGGGCAGACTGAGGGATACTTACGGTCAGCTTCACTGAACTACTGGTGGAAGCTTACTCAGACAGATCGTCGTCTTGATCAGTAACAGAAGGTTCCTCGTTGAAGAACTCTGATATTCCAAGATCTGCATCATCCTCGTCCACGTCGGCCTGATATGTTTGCAGTTGCGCTATAGCCGCATGGAAAGATCCCTGAGGGTAGATACGTGGTTGCGCAAGGAGAATCTTCCTGACTTCCACAAACAGCCTGAGATTCTTTGCGTTGAGGGGACTACCCTTATGGTAGAGCCCGTCGTTCAAGTGTGAGTTGTAATTGGTGCCGCTTGCGAGATCTGGTGTGAACGAACACACCGGTAAACCGACGTCTCTACAATGTGTACATTGATTCGATCCATCACTCGTGTCGCATGCTCCGCGCGTCATCAGGCAAAGGTCGCATTGGATGCGTGAACGGTAGAGAGCACTGTGCCCAGGATTGTTGGTGCTTTGGATATGCTTCCAGGACTTCCAGTCAGCGAGGGTAAAACCGATATTCTTCAACGTGGGGGAAGCTTCCATCTGAGCTCTGATTTCCGCATCGCTCAATCTCTGATCTGACAGCATGGTGAAGTCTTTTTTCTGGGGACCAAAGGTAACCGTACGTTGAACCATGTCATATGTGGCTTGTATGACTCGTGCATGAGCATACGTCTTTGGAACCCAGTCGTAGCTTGATTCTTCGGAGCAACCAAAGAGCCAAGGAAGAAGGGCGATAGCACTGCCGTAGCTCCCAATCGAAGCAGGCTCGCCCTCGGTCAAATGCAGCTTGGCTCGCTTGATATACCTAAATCTCAATTGTACTGGATTAGTTGGGTCTTGCCACTCGATGCGAACCGCGAGGGAGTTTGCTTGGTTCCAGTTCTTGAAGCGACGAATATCAGGTAGTTGTGCCCAAGCTTCAGGGTGAGGTGTACCATCTTTATACACCTCCATGACCAGGTGATATTTGGTATTCGGCGGGATAGGAACCACTGGGTCGCTTCCATCCAGCAGATCGGAAGATCCAATTCCATTCACAGAGCTCCGAATGGTAAGCTTGTGTGAGGGAAGGAGGTGGAAGTTCCTGTGCCCCCCCGGTGGAACGGTACTTGGGTTGGCACTTCGAAAGGAAGAAACGTCGATCGAACGAAGGGTGTTCTTGTCCGTTATCTTGCTGTCTGTGCGAATGTACAACGTCTTATCGCTATTCAAGTCCCATTCCAGTAGCGGAGAACTCCAGTTCGCTCCTTCTTGGACTCCGAAATTGGATCGACTGACCCCCCCGGGCCAACCCGTGATTGCAAAAACTTGCCTCGAGAGCCCTTTGAAGTAGATTGCGTGCTGCAATGAACCAACGGTTCCAACCTGCACAGTTGTAGCGTGGCTGATATCCAAATCCGATCGGTAGGTCTCCAGTAAGCATGTGAATATCTGTTCTGCCAGAAAGAAAAGTCCAGTCGTTGCTGCAGGCTCGAGCATACACAGAGCAAACATACTCAGTTCGGCAGAGTTTCTTGTAAGATCGCCGTACTTGGAAGTTGCGTAACGATGGCTAGTTAGCCGAGAAAGGAAGTCGACTGTCTTGCCGACGTAGACATAGCTCGTGTCTGGCTTCCAGTATGGTAACACTTCACCCGAACGATGAATTCGCATATAGATACCAGCACCCTGGCCTTTACGATAGTCATCGGTGATGACATCGGTTGCTGCTTCGTACAGATCGGTGATAGTGAAGTCGTTCTCGTTCAGCACGTCGTACAAGCCCGCCTTCCGGATGCCAGTGATGATGATGTCAGTAAGCCCGTTAACGCCTCCAGGAGTAGTTTTGACAAGGTCATCGAGTTTATCGCTTAAGAAACTCGCTGGGTTTGTATGCAAGGCCGCGATGAGTTGTTGAATAGTTTTGCCGAGCACGCTCCCGGCCCAGGTCCAATCTGCAGGCAGCTCCTCCCATCTCCTGGGTTCGAAGGTTCCCGCAACTAGATCGAGTTGCTGCTTGAACTTGTTGATGTCTGTCTCCCAGCGACCTTTAACGTCAATGTATGAAGCGGGAACCCATATGTTGTCGTGCCACTCGTTAGTGGTGGTGTTGCGATACTCGGTGATACCGGGAACGTTGATCAACGAACGATACTCCCCCTGGGCATTGTTCTGACTGCGGATGATTTGGCAATACATGCCCTTCGTGAAATCGTGCTTCCGAGACGAACCGGTGACGTAGAAGTCCACGTTGATGATGCCCACTTGGGTGTCGACGGGTGGGCCGTGTAGACCATGTCCGTGGAGAGTCGCGCCATCCATTGCATCCGCCCATCTCTCTGGTGCCATCATGGACAAGATGTTGTGCGAAGTTCCGGGTGGGAACCACGGCATATCGAGATGGTGTTCGGTACGATGAGGGAGTGTCTAATCACATTAGTTACTGGCACATCAGAGGGCGAAGAGAAACATTGGATGAACTATGACCACCTGGGCATCAAGAGAAATTGGAACCAAGTGTAATGCTACCCAGGTACGTGGGAATGAGACGCGAAGGTCAAACATACATCGGTAAATCAGCGTGGGTTTATTGGAAAACCGTTGGTTGAAGGGTGATACGTCGTGAAGAAGGCTGATCAGATAGAGAAGCTTGACCCCGAATTAACGCTACCAGCCTTGGAGTTGGATCCTATCTGGCTACGCGTCTGGATGCTGGTCAGGGACAGGGTAGAGTCGAAGTGCGCTTGGGGAGACTGTTGTAGTTGGTAACAGTGTTGTCGAATATCGTGAATTGCGGACTACTGGGTAGTGGTTCAAGGGTATCTAGAGGTGATGGAGAAAGAAGTGCCGATACGCCCACTCTATATAACGGACTTGCAGGGCTGCTACAGCTAGCGCGATTGCTTGCGCAATCGCCAGGCTGCAGCAGTAAATTTTAGTCAAAATTCGGGTGGCGATCGGAGCGGGTGATCGGCTTAGCGTGGGCAGAACGCGTGAGTGACCTCGCTGTTCGGTTAGGCAATCTCGGGCACCTGCGTCTTTCACTTGTTTAGATTCGCAAATTGCCGTATGAGAGCAATCACAGGCGTCTTAAGTCTACAATCTACCGACACAATACCGCTTCGGGTCTGATTCGCGTTCAATGAAGAGTCTGGAGATGCAGCATGGCTGCCCAGGTGGCTTCTTGCTTGGCGTGTATATCTCCAAAGTAGTTAGGCATACATTGCGGAGCTGCAGAAGTTCACGTGAAAATCGGTAATGGTTTGCGCATTCGATTCCGGGTTGCTCTACCCATGATTGCCTGTTCAGACAAACACTCATGAGTCATTTTACAACAGATTGACGAGTGAAGGATACCGATAAACGTGGAGCCTTCGTTTGTAGATGGCGGTCAACAACGTCATGTGGGCCCGCTGCGTAAATCTACGGAAGTGAAGGAGCGATTGCAGGTGCAGGTGTAGGTGCGTCCTTGAGATATTTAATCTCCTCCTTCGCCGCCCAAAGGCTGGTCTTCTACACACACACCTGGGCACACACATATGCGCGGTCTTCGGCGCACTCAACACCAAGCAATACCATACACCTTTTGGCTTACCTTCCTAGCTTGATTCGACATCTAAAGTGCTCCGATACCTTCTTGTCTCTTTGACCACTTGCAGCTTCACCTAGCCACTACCTCCCATCCATAGCTACTCAACATACTGCAATAACCTTGCTTGCTGTTCGGCAAGATCCTGATCGGCTGAAGCGAAGTTCAAGTACTTGTGGAGATTCCTGTCATCACTCCCTCTGTACGCTGTCGTAAGTCAAACGCCAAGATATTACCTTCTTCCCGATTTACTTACCTTTATATCAGCAGAGTATAAACACCAGACGAACCTGGTCGCATAACACTCAGTGCCTCCGGGTTATCGCCCTGCGCGTTGATATACGTCGTTACAGAACACCGATACCGTATCAACTACCACGATGACTACGTACATACCAAGTGACAATCCCCAGTATGGCCAGACACAGGAAAAGTTTGTGACCATGCATACCCAAGACTATTTGGAGTACGGTCCGCCCCCATCCAACTACTCTGTTGTGCGAGCGAAGAGTGGGCATAGCAACGCTACTCTACTCTACAAGGACCTTCTTATCCATTCACTTGACAAAAAATACGACCGCCATGCCAAAGGGATGTCGAATAAAAATCCATTGTCTCCGGGGGAATTGGCAGAAGGTCCGACCCTTGCACCAGAGATGCTTTTCGGTCGAAAAGACTATATCGGCTTCGCTCATCCTCCCCTGGACTATGCCCCCGGTATGTTCGACTGGACCCACCACGACTCTTGGAGCGAAGCATTGACAGCAGCTGCTATCTTCGACGGCGACCTTACCATGAACAAAGACGGGAAGAAGTATAACCCTTGTCTGAATGCAACCCATTACTTCCACGACAAGTTCAAGGTGGAGCGGAAGGAGGTCTACGAGGCTCTGTCTTCCCGCACTCTTTATCATCCCGATGACCGAGACTCAGCTGTGTTCATGGACGAGGCGAAGTGCTCTTTCACAGCGGCCATGTGGTATCGCAGCCTTATCATTGTGTGCCCTAAGGTGAACGCCGATGGTGTTGGTTGGGACCGAATATGGAATACCCACAATCGACCTCCGGTATACGCGCGATGGTCTACTGGACATTGGCAAGGCCGCAACAAGCCACTCTTGCTAGGCTGTATACCTAAGCAGCCCTTCAAGGGCGATGGTTCATTGCAAAATTACGTGAGCAAGGAGTGCCACTGGTTCAATTTGACGCCTAAATTGGGCACGGCTTTCCAAAAGCAGTGGGGCAGGATGTTTAACAAGTAAGTCCCACGAGCTATGCTTTCATGGTGTTATCTGACTATTCCAGGATCGACGTTACCAAGGTCACAGTCGATATGCGAGTTACACCCTGCACACCAGAATTCTTTTCTTGGTTGCTTGCCGCTACACACTACAAGATCATCAGCGGTACTAAGATTAGTGATGATGCTCTCGGCTCCTGGATCAACCAATACGCCAAACATGCCAAAGCTCGGGCAGACGCTGGTGGAGGATACATAGGCGAGTTCATATACGATCCAGCGAAGCGAGCTGAATATGGAGGTATCAATGTCTCATCCCGTGAGCTGGCTGGTTGGGTCATGGGTAACTACTTTGCATGTAAGCCCTATGCGGCGCGATATGAGCGGGCTTTCGAGTGCTTCATTAAGTGGGAAGCAACCCGATCCGTTACCGATTGGCAGGATTTCCACGACAAGATCCATGTTGCTGGTACACCTCCATGGGCAGGGAGATAAGGCGTGGGTGGGAGCTCGATCGAGCGTGGTTGAAACATAGCGAGATTGCGGAGGGAGGCGAGTTGGTGTTCTATATGGGTGAAGAGCCTAAGAAGTGGGATCTTGGTGAGTGGCCGTGGTCACTGTCAACATCGTCACTGTAGGCACTGTCATACGAGTTGCAATCTAGCAGATAAGCTTTTAGGGTGGAAGTATACATTGCATTAAAAGCCATCTAGTTTTGAAAGTTCAACGGCGTGAACGCAGCAAGAGGCGACATTAATCCAGGTCCCCTCACCTTACCAACCAGCCTGCCCTCCATTGACTAAGAGCGTGTCTACGACTTTGCCGTCCAACAAGGCTTCTACAGTGACCAACCCAGTCGGGACATCTTGCAGGATAACCTGCCCCCGGCAAAGTGTACATACTCTCTTTTTCTTTGTCGCCTTGCTCACTACCAGATTCATTCCATTTATTTTCGGCGCCAGTGTGCCATGCTGTTCTAATGGCGCGGCGATGTGAACGGTTAAGTCTTCACATGACGTAAACCTGGTGCACAGGGCAATCGTCGCGTTAAGTGCTGTGCCGCTCAGGTCTGTCAGGCTTGGAACGACGAATGTCTGACTATCGATCCGAAAAGTCTGTTCCGGTGCCTCGGGTGCCTGGATGGCGAAAGACGTAGCATTTTGAATGGCGGGTCCAGAAAGCGAGAACGGGAAGTAAGTCGTAGTTCCGTATTCACCACCACTGCGACCAAAGACTGAGCTGCCCGTCTCGGTTTCTGGTTCAAGCTCTGTCGCGTTGTCGCTCACGCGAAGAGTTAGTGATTGCGGGGGTGAGCTGCCTGCCGGTGTGAGCATTCTGATCTTGCCCGAAAGCATCAATTTTCCGTCCTCGCTGAAGTCGTAGGTTACGTTGAACGGCTTGACCGGCATTACAGCAATTGGCTCGGGGAGCTGAACACCAGCAGGTACGGTGTTGATGGCTCGGCCCATGAGATCGGCACAAGTATTAAGAAACCCGGCTCTTTGCGCGAATAGAGCATGCATCGTCGCATTCTTATCGCTCTCGTAAAGCCGTTTATCGGAATTCATCGTGTCGTTATACGACATGACTAGCGGTCCTCCTTTGTTTCCCGTTCCGTTCAAGTATTCGCCGAGGACGTTTGGGTCGAAGACTCCGCGTGTAGTGTCGAAGTTACTACCGCCATTCGTGTTACTGGGCGTGACGAAGCTGTCGTCTACAGCCTCCGGGAAGCCGCCCTGCACCGATGAGTGAGTATCGTCCAATCGAATAGCAGCCAGAAACCTACGTGGTGTACGCTGCCCAGAGTGTGACCGCAAGCCGTGAGCCCAATAGCATCCACCTTGTCGAACCCTGCGCGCTCGAAGAAAAGTAACGTCTCTTCTAGATCGGTTTCCGGTGCTGGAACGCCTGTCGTCTTTCCAGCTTCCGTCGCATCGATGCGACCCGGTCGAAACGGCATCTGCGCGCCTCCGCATAGATTATTCGACATGACCGTACCGAGCGCAACAAGATCGGCCACTACCGCTTCGTCAGCACCACTTCCACCACCAATCACCCATTCGAAGCGATGCACTCACTAGAAATCCCCTCCGCAACAAACGGCCTCCAAAACGAAAAACTATCGTTAAACGCACTTCCCTTATTCTCTTCCCTTGCCGTCTCAAACCCAATACTAGCATCAATACCTCCCATGCCCGCACTCACATTCGCAGTGATAAAGTCGTGGAACATGACGCGCATCCACTGGGCAGCAGTGGTGCGACCACTATTGAGCCCTGTGGTGCCGGTCTGCGAGACATAGTTCGTGCAAGGGGTGATTGCTGAAGAGAAATTCGAAGCATAGGCGCCCCAGTTGTCGACTAGGATATGTTCGAGGAAGGAGCGTATGGGTGTGGGGTAGTAGAACGCGGCGTTTGTGATAGGGAGAGTGGAGAGAATTGAGAGGAAGAGAGTGGTGCAGGCGAAGAGTAGCATTTTCGCTTGCAGGCAGGCACTGAATCTGTGACTAGAATACTAGTGATATTCCAGAGTATGCTGACGGTATCTCATCTTATATATCGTCTTCGTTCCATACTGTGTCGGCTGAACTTGGAAAATTTCCTCTTCGGGATGCAGTGCTACATGGCAGCTATCAAGTGATCCAGATCTTCAGAATACTGCCTCATGCGCGACTACCGCTGAAGATCGAATCGGGGGCAGTATATGATTGGCTGCGTAGACAACACCAATGCAGCCTGTATGGTTGGGCGTGATTAGATAAGCCTCGGTAAGCTGACATTCTTCTACCACCACCTGCCTTTTGGGAAGTTCAGAGTTGGAGGTTTCCCATCGAACTTCACACCTCATACAAGAAAAAAACTAAACAAGTCTGCAGGCTACATTAAGCTAAAACCTTGCTAAGACAGTAACCTAGCGCTAATGTAGGCTCTAGGCTGTTCAGCTTTTTCCTAGGTTGGCGTGTTCATACTCTGCCTGCAGCCAACATGCTACCCAACTTGAGCCATCGTGTGGCGATAAGAGCTACGGCACCCACACCCATTACGCCTGCCGCGCAGAACCAAACACCCTTGAAGTTCTCTACCGCACCATTTCCCTCGCCCTTGAGTGCGCCCATGGCAGGATTACCGAGCAGCCCGCCGAAAGCAGCGACTAGATACGCCAACCCAAGACGTACGCCGATGGAGGCTTTATTGGGAGAAAGGTTGGTGACTACGGGCCCAGGGATGATGATCACGCCGCCAGAAAGGAAGCCGTACACGATGCTGATAGCGATGAGACCGTTCAAATCCTGAGCGAGGGGTAGCATACAGAGGGTGATGATGCAGGCGACGGTGAGAGGAAGCAGGGTGTTGACACCGCCGTACCTAAAGTTGTCAGTACTAGGCTAGTAAGAAGATTGGATGATGAGAACATACCTGTCGGCGATGAAGTTTGGAACAAAACGCCCAAAGATATTGGCCGCGTTCATGATCGACAACAAGTTGAACGCCATATCCTTCGACACACCGAGCTTGATAGCGTACTCCTGGATGAAGAAGAAAGGCACAAACGAGGAGGCGACGAACAGCGTGAATGCGACGACAAAGATCGTGTATGGCAGATCCTTGAAGTGGTGAAAGCCGAAGCTGGAGCCCTTGGATCCGTACTGAAGCTGCAAGCGCATCACCACAAAAGCGACGGCGTTGGTCACCAATATTATGAGCGCAAAGATGCGAACAGCCCACGCGAACCCGACGCTGAGGAAGAGCGAGCGTAAGGACAGAGTGTATGCGATACCAGCAACACTAGCACCAGTCGATGCAAGACCAGTAGCCAGCATGCGTTTCTTCTCGAAGAACATGGCTAGCACAGCGACGGGCACTATCGCCATCAAACCGCTGCCGACACCCATGCATACTCCCTGAGCGAAGAAGATCGCCCAATAGCTCTTGAAGAAAGAAGTCAGGATCAAACCCAGTACCTCAAGGCCCGTGCCAACAGCGATGATACTTTTGAGGTATCCCCGATCAAGCAGAATGCCACCAGGTAAGCAGCCAATCGTAGTGAAGAAAAGCTGAATCGATCCGATCCAGGCAATACGCGACGCATCCTGCTCCGGCATCAAGGTGTCAACGTAGTATGTTTGAAAGACGCCAAAGGCATTGGGTAAGCCCCAACTGTTCGCGAACAGAATGAATCCACCAAGAACCTGCATCCACGCCACTTTGCCATGATCAACAGGGTAATCTTCATTAGCTTGCGCACTCGCTGTGATCTCGTGCGAGAGCAGCTGTTGTGTTCTTTCCCGCTGCGTCTCGTGGTATGAGAGCAAGCTCTCTCTTTCGGGATCCATGGTTTTGGTATGGGAATCTGTAGGGTATTTCGATAGTGATGATAGTGCCTAATAATTGGGCGATGGTGTGTAAGCTGGCCGTGCCATGTAGCAACTGGATTTTCTCAGGGTCGATGCTTGATGGGGCGCTAGCGGGTAGCATGCCGCGGAGGATCGTCACTTTTAGTCATGAAACTGCAGGTACAGGTCCGAGCGGTGAAGGTAATCGCGCAAGCGAGGAACGATCGCGTTTGCTGCGAAGCCGGGAGCAAACAACACGAATCAGGAATAATGGAGACATCAAATGATGGTTATGCAGTATGCATGAGGAGTTCAATTGAAGATGTCCTGAGATGGTTATTTAGGTTACATTCGGCACTTGTAGCCACTCTGGCCACATCGCAGGCGCCTTCGCCTTGTTCTCTTCACTTCCTTCGTCGTAACGAGGGTAACTCCCTATCCCATGCCAGACCACCTATAAGAGATCCGACACTCTGAACAAAGCCTATCTACCTGAGTTCTTCCTGAGCAGGACCCTGTGCAACACCAGCTATCCGCGCAGACTGTGAGAGAGTGCACACACATATCACCACGGTCAAGAGGCAGAGCGCACCACCGTAGGCCAGTCCGAATCCGGTAAGACGACGAGAGAATATGTCACGCCAGGTGACGACCTTGCCCGGCTTATATGACGAGTCGACCAACCATCTAGCATCTTCTAATCCGGCCCTGAATCGTTCCATGTCGGCCTTTGTGAGACTGATCATGATCTCGTACGGCTCTCCTTCTTGTCCTTCTTTGTCTTCTTCTCTGGGCAAGACCACGACGCCACCTTCGCTGACCCACGCCGCTCGCCGAATAGCAGTCGCATTTGACTTGCTCGTGCCTGGGATGCACCACTCCCTGTCAGCTCCCATCCTTTGCCAACTAGTGATGTATAGGTCTGGGCCTTTGGGAAACTTCAAAAGGGATTGCTGCGCTTCGGCAGGGTTGGTAAGGACGCTGTTGATCTGGGTGACTGCCCATTTCGCGTTGATGGCGTGCAGAGCATCTGTAATCTTGGCTGCGATGTCCTCAAGAGAGGCCGCAGCGCCATCAAGATCCAAGGTAGGCGTAGCGGACAACACCAGGTTGCCAAGATAATCCGGGGATGAGAAGGGCAGTGGAAGGAACTTTCTAAGATCTACAACGACGGCAAGGGTCGACTGCGTGTTACCCGAAGCTGTGATCGACTTTGAGCGAGCGCGTATGACATTTGCCCAGACGATAGCTGATAGTACGGTAAAGTTGGATACACGCTTCCCGATCTTAACAGATAGCTCGTTGCGGAGCTCTTCGATAGCTTGTGATGAGAAGCGAAACATCTCGGCAACGACTTTATTGGGTCCTTCATCCGGTCCTTTGCGGAGCTCAAAGCGCTTCGCAAATGGCTTCTCAGGTGTATTAGTAGACTGGCCTGCTGCATCGGCTTCTTGGACCAGCGTTGCGAGCGCTTGACGCGCTGATGACGGGTCTGGTACCACGTTCCATTCCTTGACGATATCCTTCAATGGTTGGAGCTGATCCTTGTAGCTTGGTACGCGATAGTATCTAGCAGGCGGACGAACTGGCGGTAGTTTGTTCCTTTTGATGCTGAGAGCTCGTACCGCATCGGACCATATCTTTTGGATCCTTCCGTTGCCAGTGCCATCGACAACGGCATGATACCACCAGGCGCTCAGTATCAGACCTCCGGGGATGAATGTAGCCTGGGCCGCGAAGGTTGGCAAAGGTCCTTTCGAAAAGCTTGTCATCCTTTCGGCATACGCATCTTCGCCCAATCCAGCGTGGTGTTTCAGTTCGTTTGGGCAGAAGATAGTAGCGGGCAACTCGTCTGGGAGGAAGGCGTCCTTCGCAAGCGAATCGTAGTCATGCTGTGCATCGTCGTAACTGACTGTGAATATACGGCGTGCCTCGGCTTCGAGATCGATGGGGTCGGGGTACTGCACACGGAGAAGGTCGGTAGAGGAGTCTAAGTCCACAGTGCCAGCGAGATATGGAAACTGTCTCAGAACTTCTTTGAAGCCATTGTGCAGCGCCTCTTTTGCTTCATGGGCGCGACTGATGTCCGGAAAGGGAAATATGATGTAGTAGCGGCCATACACGCGGATGTGGGGCTGCTGATCGAGGTGAGATAACTCTAGCTCTTTTGTAGTGCCGGTTGGCATTGCGGGGGTAGTGGTCTGGAAAAGTTGACGAAAGTAGGCTTTCTTCGTGTTGGGCTGGACTCGGAGGCGAAGGCTTTTAGGGTCCGTTGTAGTGGAATGTCGGTGGTCGAGGCGCAGGTAGCTGTGCGAGAATCTCCAAGGGCACTCCATGAGAACCTGCCGGCGAGTATAAATGCTTCGCGGTGCTGTGAAGTCGCACTCTGTAGAGGTGAAACAGGTGAATGCATTGCCTTGTGCGTTGTATTGGCTCTTCGATGTGATGGTACTGGTGAAGGCATCTCGTGCGTTGGCAGTTGCAGACGGATGCTCTGACTGATATGCAGTACATAACAAACAAAAAGCATGGAACCCAAATCTCCGAGCTTTGACATCGTTCCGACCATGCACTGGCGATCCTATTGCACGGTGTGCTTGCCGACACTAGAGCTATTGGGCACGGTGCGCGAACCGTTGCCCGAGTCGCGTGGCATGATATTCAGCGGTTGGCACAGATTAGCTTCATGCCGCATGTCGCTCGAGCCCGATCATAGCGGACTGATCAACCTGCCCGCCCAACACACCAGCCTTCTGCAGTATGCCAACAGTCTTGTTCACAACCTCCTTGTCCACGCCCTTCACATCTTTGGCGAAGCGAACAGTCTTCAACCACTCTCGCGCGTCCTCTTCCGAGTAATCGAGCTTGGTGCTGATGTACTGGACGGCCTCTTCCTGGTTCACCTCAAAGTGTTTGACTCCCTTGTTGATCTTGTCCATGACGTCCTCGAGTTCCCCAGTAAGCACTGGCTTGCTGGCGTTGGGTGCCGAACTCCAGTTCTTCGGGTTCAATAGATGGTTTGCGGCGACGATCTTCCACGAGGACCAGGGTGTGTAGATCTCGCCGATGCGCTTGATCTCGCCGTTGTCGTAGTAGCGCTTCGACGTGAAGTGCTCCCACATAAAGAAGTCGGCCGTGCTGTCGTTGACTCCATCGCGGAGGTTCGCAAACGTGTTCAGCACCTCGACGGGGAATGGTGGACTGTTGGACGAAGTGTCGAGCCACCCTTGCTGGTCGGCAAGCACGAAGCTCATCACGTAGCTGCCACTTCCTATCCTGGACACGCCGACTTTCTTTCCTTTGAGGTCTGGTATTCCGTTGAGCTCATCCCTCTTGGCGCCTGTGGATATGGCCCAGCACAGCGGAGTCTCGACGTATGTCCCCACCACGCTGAAGCCAGCGTCCTGCTTAGCCGCCTGTGCTTTTCCCAGTGCCGCTATCCAGCCTTCGGTAAGACCAACTCCGATATCGATCTCGTCGGCTTGCAGGGCCGTGACCATGTGCCCTGTGCCACTGGGGAACGGGAGGAGCTTCGCGTCCAGGCCGTAGTGCTTCTTCGCGAACTCGAGCGGTGTGGAGAAGTGTTCTATTTCCGTCAGCGGGCGATGCAAGAGTATTGATGACGCGCCTACCTGGCACGAAGCCAATGCGCAGTGGTGCCATGGCTGTAATCTTGGTTGAGAAGCTTCGGACGGGTCGTGGGGTTGGTGAAACGCGTGCAAGTCGCAGTGTGCGTAGCATTGCTGTGTAGGAATTGGAGAAGAGGGCACGACTACGACAATGAGGGGTATGTCGGTCAAGGTGTGTGATTTAATAAAGTTTGGTTAGGGCCGAATCATCAGTTGACCACCAGTGGTTGTATGCGCAAGCTCATGTCACATGAAGCTGCCCGAGGTCGATGATGCGCGTCTGCCTCGCCTAGTTCCGCTCGGAAGGCCATTCCGACCAGCTCCGATCCTCGCGTTCCACCTCGATATGTCGGCGTCATTCCTTATCACCAACTTCTTCCTATGGTTTTCTTGCTGTTTTCGAGATACTCCCTTCCTAGAGTTTCTGTTGCGTCCTCGCGTACTTGGCTCTCATTCCGTCATTCCTGTCCTATCGACCTCTCCAAATTTGCTACGATGTCTTTCGATAGCGGTAGAACATCAATAAGAGCTAGGACGATAGCCATTGTAGGCGCTGGACCATCGGGTGTGGCGGCGGCAAAATACCTCCGAGCTGAGAAAGCATTTGATAAGATCGTGCTATTTGAACAGCGAAGTCGATCAGGGGGGATCTGGATATATACGGGCGAACAGCGGGACGAGAACCTCTTCGATATACCTCAGACCAACCCCAATAAAGACGTTCAAAAACCAGAGTGTCAATCCAAAGATGCAGTAATGAATGGGAACATTGGTACGAATGGCACCAACGGAACTTCGAAAATTCCCTCCTTTTTGTCGCCAATGTACGAAAAGCTCGAAACGAATATACCGAGAGGACTAATGGGCTTCCAAGACCTGGATTGGCCCGCGGATAGTCAACTCTTTCCTACTCATGAAACAGTACTAACGTATATCGACGATTACTCCGCGGATGTACAAGACCTTGTTCGTTACTGTACACAAGTCATCAATGTCAGTCCAGTAGACCCCGATGTCGCTAGCAGCCCATGGAAAGTGACTACGCGTAATCTCCTAAACGACGAAGACGTGTCTGAAGTCTACGATGCGGTTATTATAGCGAATGGCCACTTCATAGTTCCCTACATACCACCCATGGCCGGTATCAAAGAGTGGGCTGCACAGCACCCCGGTCACATTAGCCATTCGAAGTATTACCGGAAGCCTGAGGACTTTACCGGAAAGAAGACAATAGTGGTGGGAAACTCAGCGTCTGGCGCAGACGTCAGCGCTCAGATTGCAGAGTTTTGTCAAAAGCCGCTCTTATGGTCCACAAGATCGCAGTCCATGTTCAGCGCAACCCACGGAACAGCAGGGGAAGACCAGAAGAGGCGAGAAGTTCCGCCCATCAAGCAGTTTATTCCCAGCAATAGAGGCGTAATGTTTGAAGACGGAACAGAAGAACACGATATCGATGCCATAGTTTTTGCTACCGGATACTTCTACAGTCTACCCTTCCTGCAAGACGTAGAGCCTAAACTCATTACCACCGGCGAAAGAGTAAACCATACATACCAGCATGTCTTTTACGCCCCTCGGCCGACCCTAAGCTTCCTCGCCCTCAATCAACGCGTTATCCCTTTCCCAGTAGCAGAAGCGCAATCTGCCGTCCTTGCACGCGTATATTCCGGCCGTCTCTCGCTCCCCTCACACTCAGAAATGCGTGACTGGGAGCAAACCATCGAGGAGGAAATGGGCGCAGGACGAAACTTCCATCTCTTGCCCTTCCCCAAGGATGCCAACTACATCAACGCAATGAGTATGTGGGCATTGAGCGCTGAGAGCAAGGAAGGGTTGGACAACGGAGGCAAAGGAAAGACTCCGCCGATCTGGGGTGAGTGGGAGTACTGGTGTCGTGAGAATTTTCCAAAGATACGGCAAGCATTTGGAAAGATGGGGGAGAAGAGGAGGGAAATTAGAGATGTGAAGGAGCTAGGCTTTGACTTTGAAGAGTATCAGAAAGAACAGGCACAGCAGAAAGACATGGACAAGAAAGGCGAGGAGCTAATATAATAAACAATACAGTAGCTATCGGCAATTTCAACGTCTCGTATCATTCAAAAAGCCTATACAGGCTCTACCACACATCCACATTCCATCAGTTACATCTTGTCTTCTCCCCGCTTCCCAGGCAACCAACCCGCTTACACGGAAGCTCTTCTCGGCATCGAGGTCGCAGAAGATGCCACCCTCCGCCAAACAATCCCGCTCCTCTTCATTCCTCCAAACTTTTGCTCCCAAGGGCTCACGCTCATCCCCGCTTTCTCCCCGTCAGCCTCTCTTAAAACATGCCTAAAACCACCCCCAACATCCATCTCCCCCATGGTACACAAAATAACTCGAAACTTCTCCCCACCACCTATAAACCACGCAAAAACCTCCCGCATAATCTCCTTGATAAACCGCGTTTGGAGCAGCTCAGTCTCCGGCGACTGGGTCGCTGACTCTGGAACGTCTGTATTAATAACGAGAGTATGCAAGTGGGGCAATGTGGCTACGCATAGGAGAAAGTGGCGGACGAGGACGAGTGCATGGCGCGTGTTGGTGGCGGAGATGTTGGTGTCGGTTAGGTAGAAGTTGACTTCTAGTTGTTTTAGGTCGGAGTGGGGGTTGGGGACGTAGAACCAGATGTCTAGGGCTGCGTAAGCGTCTAGTAGATCTACGACGTCTTTGCGGTTCATTGATACGCCCTGTAGTTCGTGGACTTCGTGGGCTCCGCGCTTTATGTGACCGAATGGGTATTCAGCTAGCAGATCCGAGAGATCGTCTTGATGCGTTGATGGATCCGAAACTTCGGAATTCTCTTGTGTCTGCTCGCGTGGGTCGGACATGTTTGGTGAATTTGGGTGGGTTGGCACTGATGGCTTGGGGGTGGAGGTGCGGGTCAGTCGGGAAGTTTATTAGAAGAAAGAGTCACGGTTAAGTAGGCTTACGGACGCGGGTGAATGGGCATGTTGTAGTGTGAAGTTTACGATCAGCATATCTAAACAGTGCTATGGTGATGTCCCGTCAACAATGAAATGACCTCTAGGGGCCTACATTACCCAGCGTTTTCTCTCAGAACATGTCCACGGGAAGCTCAAAGTATCCGCCAAATCGTCGTACCAAACATAAGCAAGGCAATTGCTACTCAGGCAGAAGGTCAGAGAATGAAGCAGGTGGAAGTAGTGACATAACATGTGTACCTCAACACAAAGACCCCTCCAAATATGATATCAAACCCGAACGCCGCGGCTATGCATCAAAAAGCGCAAACTGATATCCTCTTAGCTGTGACACTACCTCCGTCCCTTGCCTTGCCCACCTCCACCACCTCCACCCATACCTGGCATGCCGCCCATGCCACCCATCATCTTCATCAAGGCGCCCATGTCAGGCATACCTCCCCCTCCCATACCACCGAGCGCGGATAGATCGGGCATGCCGCCGCCACCACCGCCTCCTCCACCCATCATCTTCATCATAGCGCCAATATCTGGCATGCCGCCGCCTGCACCACCTGCGCCGCCACCCATACTTTGCATGCGCTTCTGCATAGCCGCGAGTTGTTGTTGCTTGTTGCCTCCGCCCATCGCACCCTGTGCTTTTTGCATATTTGCCATTCCACCCTTCATCTTCTTCGCCATACCGGCCATCATGCGGTGTTGGGTAAGCAGTTCTTCGACTTCGCGGACCGAGGTACCAGAGCCGCGGGCGATACGTGTCATACGCGTGGGTTGATCGACGAACATCTTTCCGTCCGACTCCAGCTCTTTCTCGGTCATACTATCACAAATGTAGATCATGCGCTTCAGCTTTGTGCCGCCTTCTTCGTCATCCATGCCGCCCATCATGCTGCTAAGTCCGGGAATCATGCCTGCCATCTTCGACAAGGGTCCCATCTTCATGATGTTGGAGAGCTGATCCCGCAGGTCCTTGATTGTGAAGATACCCTGGGTGATGTGCTTCATTGTGTCCTTCTGGTCGAGCTTGAGAGATTGTACGTGTTCGACGAGCCCTTGGACGTCTCCCATGCCGAGCAGCTTTGAGACGAAAGCCTGTGGCGCGAAACGCTCGAGGTCCAGCATGTGTTCTCCGTTACCGAGGAAGACGATAGGTGTATGTGTTGCTGCGACGGCGGAAATGGCACCACCTCCTGCTGCCGCACCGTCCGTCTTGGTGATGACAATGGCTCCGAAATCTGCGGCCTCCTTGAAAGCGCGTGCTTGCGACTCCGCAGCCTGTCCGATTGTTCCGTCCAGGACCATGATGGTCTGGTCGGGTGTCACGGCGTTCTGAATTTGCACCATCTCGTCGAAGAGGTCCTTCTCTTGCCTGTGTCGTCCCGAGGTATCCACGATGATGATCTCGAAGCGCTCCTTCTTGAACTTCTCTACACCCTCGCCTGCCACCACTACAGGGTCGGTCTGTGTATGGCTACCGTAGTATGGGATCTTGGCTTTGGTCGCGTTCTGCTTCAATTGGTCGAAGGCACCGGCACGGAAAGTGTCGGCGCACACCAAGCAGGCCTTGAAGCCTCTTGCCTGGTACCATCTTGCCAGCTTTGTACACGTCGTCGTTTTACCCGCACCCTGGAGACCGACAAACATGATGACGTTGGACTTGCCCTTCTTGGGCTTGAAGGGCTCGGCATGGGGATCGACCATCTTGACGAGTTCATCGAAAACGGCTTTCTGGATAAGGCGCTTCTTGTTGACGCCCGGCGCGAGGTGCTTGAAGTCGACGGCCTTCTTTATCGACTGGCGCAGGTTCATGACGAGTTTGACGTTGACATCGGCTTCGACGAGGGCGTTGGAGATCTCCTTGACCATGGCTTCGAAGGCCTGCGCATGTTAGCCACCTATCCTCAGTCGCCTGCTCGGGGCGCGCACCTTCTCGTCGAGGTTGGGCGACCTCGTGAGGTCGGTGACGGCGGCATTGATGCGCCGCCCGAGATCTTGAAGCACCATAGCGGCGGTTGGTAGAGAGAGATGATGGTAGGGGTAGGGTTGTGGGTGTTCGGTGGTGTGCCTCTCGTGGTGTTCTGTGGGGAATCCACTATGGCGGGGCGCGCTTGCCGTCGGCCATTTGGGCTACTAACGCCGATCGCCTGGAACTTTTTTCTGCGACGCGATTTACCTGCAACATTCACATAACCCGACTTTCACAGCCACAATGGTCAACACATCGCTGAAACGGAGACGGACCGAGGAGCAGCTGCGTGGCAAGGTGCCCAAGAAGGAGAAGAGAAAGGTCAAGAAGCAGAAGAACTACCACAGTTCGAGCGAAGAGGAAGGCGGCGCGCGCGATGCTCCATTGCGCGGAAGCAGCCAGGAGCCCGAGGAGCCATTCCAGCCGTCCGGAGTCAATGCGACGCTACCCGGAAAGCAAGAGCTCTCGAAGCAACAGCTGAGGAAACAGGCAAAGTTCGAGGCCAAGAAGGCGGCACAGCAAGCGGCAGCGGCAGAGGAGTCTTCAGCCAGCGACGACGAAGAGGAAGTCGAAGCGGCGCCCGCGCAGAAACCCGAGCCCAAGTTCAAGGCCAGCATACCTGCACAGGTCCCGGCAAAGTCGGCACTCAAGAAGACTGCGCCCGTCGACCACGAAGCGCCATTGCCCAGCGACGCCGAAGACGATGTGGAAGAGCTGGACGACTCTGAACCTGAGGCGGATGAGTTTTCTATTGCCGACTCCGAATCAGATGCCTCCGAGACCTCAACCACGGCCGCGCGCAAAGTACGGAAACGGAACGACCCCGAAGCCTTCGCGAACTCCATCTCCAAGATTCTTGGTTCGAAGCTGACGACATCGAAACGCTCCGAGCCAATTCTTTCCCGCAGCAAAGACGCCGCCACCGCCAACCGCGAGCTCGCCGACTCAAAACTCAGCGAGAAGGCGCGACGACAGATCGTTGCTGAGCGGAAGGCGGCGCAAGAAAAGGGCCGCGTGAAGGACGTCCTGGGCCTGAACGACCCCAACGTCAGCACCGCTGCCACATCAGCGAAGGAGAAGGAGCTCAGGCGGACGGCACAGAAGGGTGTCATCAAGCTTTTCAACGCCGTACGAGCGGCGCAGGTCAAGGGTGAACAGGCCGAGAGGGAGAGCAAGGCGGGCATGGTCGTCGGTATGGACAAGAGGGAGGAGAAGGTCAAGGAGATGAGCAAGCAGGGTTTCCTCGACATGATTACAGGAGGACAGAAGAAGGAGGGTAGCGTGGAGGCCTGAGGACGATTCTATATGCACAACTCGGCGTTTGGGACAAAAGAGACATAGTTTGAATATGTTCATGATACCATATACTATACATAAGTTCAGAGTCGTACTCAACGCCAGTTCATCTGCAAGCGGAGTATTCGTATAATACATGTCGTCTCAAATGCTGTATGCGATATGACCCATAATGCCTTCCAACAGATGTCCCGCAATATCACCCCCAAGATTTCACGCCTATTTTCCTGTTTCATCTCATTTGCTGTCGAAATCGCTAGCCTGCAGATTCCTCGTCATGCTCGGCAGTCGCACGACCAGTCCATCGAGCTCCTTGCTCATCTTGACCTGACACCCTAGGCGACTCGTTTCGGTAAGTCCAAATGCCAGATCTAACATGTCGTTCTCGTCATCATCCGGCTCCTCCATCTTGTCGTAGTAGGCTTCGTCTTCGACTATGACGTGACATGTTGAGCAGGCGCAAGATCCACCGCATGCGCCCTCCATTTCTATGTCGTTGGCTTGTGCAATGTCGAGGAGGTTGTCGCCGTCGGCTACTTCGAATGTGGAGGCATGGCCATCTTTGTCTACAAATGTGACTTTGCGTCTAGAAGGCGTCAGTGGTTGAGTTTGCTACAGTTGGGACATGTTTTGACGCACTCTTCACCCGGTCGGGGTGGGTCCAGGTGACCGTGGCGGGATGCGGGCGATGAGGAGAATTGGCGGCGACTCTGAAGCCATGAGGGGCTTGTGGCTTTAAGAACAGTCGAAGTTGATAAGATAGACACTACCGCTGTCTGTGTCTGAATCGATCTCCGACATGTCGCTGCCGTCCAATTGCTGGCGAACCTCCTCGGACTCGACGATGCGCCTCTTGCGCCCGCTATCCTCCCCTCCAAGGCGTTCACACAAGCTCTTCTAGCAGCCATGACGCCGAATTGATGCTCGCTAGCCGGCCGAGATTGGAGTCTAATAGGAGAAGGAGACACGGAAGCGAAGGGGTTGCAGTGTTTGCCGTGTCACAACGAGTGAATGCGCCGATAATTCCGAATGCTGTGAGACGTCAGAAATGTTGACGCACAGGCCATGCACGACCCCGGTCGATCTACCCAGCGCATCCACCACCGCGGGTAAGAAAACGATAAACATCGCCAGCCTCACGTAATCTTTACCCCAAAAACGACAGATAGCATGGCGACCTCTCGCGATGCCCCGAACCCCCTACGACCCTACTACATCCCGCCATCTATTGGCCCGCCGCCCGACGTCCCGCAGAACCAGACGTCCTCGTCATTACCGCCCGCTTTCAAGCCCAGCAACAGTAGCAAATCGAGTCTGGGCAGTCAGGCACGCGACATTCTCTCCGACCTAGACTATGACTCGTACTTTCCAGAGGCCTCGCCTACCGTAGCTGGGCATGCAAAGAAACTGCTCGATCATGCTCTGTGGAATTACACGAGCGTCCTGCTCGCCCAACCATTCGAGGTCGCGAAGACGATCTTGCAGATACACGAGGCAAAGGGACAATTGGCAGGCTTGACGGGGGAGGAGTTTGGTCACAAGAGCAGACCCCAGAGCTTCGCAAGTGGAAAATTTGAGGATGTATGTATTGGGCACCGGAGGGGCATTTGACATGTGAATGTGGGCTAATCGATACAGTACCCGCCCTCTGATGAGGAGTCTGACGAGGACTCGCCAGGATACTTCACATCTACTGCCCCGCGCATGAACCCCACGTCGCCGTCGCCATATTCGCCGTCTGTCTCACGATCGGGCGTCTCAGAATCGAGGTCTCCACGACGACGCCAGCGACGCCTCGATAGCCGATCCCGGTCACGAACACCCACTCGCCCCCCACCATCCGCCGTACGGAAACTAGATCTCAAGCGTCCAGACTCACTCCTCGAAGTGATAGGACAATTATGGCAGAAGGAGTCTGCGTGGGGTGTATGGAAGGGCACCAACTGCACTTTCATCTACAATTTCCTGCTCAAGACGACTGAGGGCTGGTTCAGGAGTCTGATATCAGCTCTGCTGAACATACCCGACCCAGGTCTTGTAGGCTCAGCAGGAAGCGGAATTGGGGGACTGGATATCCTAGACAGCCCAAGCCCGCTGACGTCCCTCGGTGTTGCTGTCGCTGCTACAGCCATCGCAGCCACTCTCCTCGCACCCCTCGACATGGTGCGCACACGCCTCATCATCACCCCCATCTCATCCTCTCCACGATCTATATACCCATGCCTTTCCCTTCTGCCCTCTTTCTCCGTCGCCCCCAGCCTCCTCCCAGCTACCATAATGCACGCCTGCGTCCCCACTCTCATTTCCTCCTCAACGCCGCTCTTCCTCCGTTCAACGCTCAGCATCGACCCTATCCTTACACCGACCACCTACTCCTTCAGCACTTTCCTCTCATCCATATCCGAGCTCTTCATCCGCCTCCCTCTCGAAACCGTCCTTCGCCGCGGCCAGGTCGCCGCACTCCAGGATCACGAAAACCAGCGCCTCGCATCTGAGTACCAGGCCCCACCCAGCCGTGCTAAGAGCCCAGCGTATGGTCTGGACAAACCAAGCTCCTCTGACCAGAGCTTCAAGACTATCGTGGAGCCGGGTCAGTACAGGGGTGTGCTGGGTACTATGTGGTTTATCGCACGTGAAGAAGGCATCAGTGTTTCTACACCGAATGCTGCTAAGGCGGCGAGTGCAAAGGCGATGGGTTTCTCTAGGCCGCCGCGTACAAGGAAGGGTCAGGGTATGCATGGGTTGTGGCGTGGATGGAGAGTGGGTGTTTGGGGGCTGGTGGGGATCTGGGGTGCTGCTGCGCTTGGAGGTGGCGGCGGTGAGTTCTAGAGTGTGATATTGCAAGTTAAGCACTAGGCCCTTGAGCGATGATTTTACTTGGTAGATTATGTTGTTTTGTCATGATGTTCGTATGCGCTTGTTGGGCGATGCTATATACACCACTCTTAGCTGATGTTGAACGAACATTTTCCGTTCACCCAACTTGTTGTTTCAAACATTTTTAAATTCTTGCATCATATCATCTGATTCGATAGATCCCCGCCATGCCATGGCTGTGTAGCCCAACCAGATAGAGTGGTATGCTGGTTTTTAATTTTCTAAAAACTAACAACGGTATCTGGAAGTGGAAAGTCCGACAGCGCACGGCATGCCAACTCATAAAAGCGGGTCGATTGTACCACGTAAATGTCACAAACGCAATACAAAGCTGTTGAATATCTTCTTAAATAAACATGCTATCATTGCGTAGTAGTAAAGCTCAGCACATAGAGGAGTGTCCCAGATGCCCCGATCAATGGTTTTGCTTGTCTTGACTGGTCTAGCCTAAAGGGGTCTAGCGGTTCCCCTACATGGAAGTACCGTACCACCTCACTTCTTATCAGCCACCACCACGTGTTGATTGTGAGTGTCAGCTTCGGTTGGCTCGTGAACTTTGGTTCACTACAGATATCGAAGCCAGAGGAAATTTCGACACGTAGACCCCCATCATACATCCACGCCTGGGAAAACCCACCATAACGTCACACCCCTATGCACTTTCAATCCATTCGGCCGACATTGAGGAACTCTCAACTATGGCCTCAGAGCTTCATTTGAGTAGCGATACAGTCAGAACTGCACAGCGCGCCGCTATCACAGAGATGAGTCTTTTGGAAAGGAATCCACGGATTCGCCCCATGAGTTTTCAATCAGCAAGTCGCTTACTCTCACTGCCTTCAGAATTACGCCTATTGATATGCCATCACATGCATATCTCGCCAGAGCTTGGCGTCGACTTTCTTGGAGCATTCTACAGCTGCAGACAGCTGCAGAAAGATATGTTGGACGAACTTAGACCTGCCTTCGATCTCGACAACTACGTCAACGAACACGCAGAACCCTGTCGCCACGAACGAAGCATGATTGTCCATGTGGTACCATCCGCGCCTCAATTCCACATCTTACGACATGTGACACTATTTGTACGAGTACCGCGCAAGGATACAAGATTACGCTGTTGCTATAACTCAGTCGCTGGGCTCTTCTCTCTCTATCTGAACGAACTCAATGTGAGGCGAGTTCCTCGCAACTATGTAGGTGACTACGGCAAATAGCTTGTCTATGGAGACTTGAAGTCATGGTCAAATCGCCGTTTTCTGAATTATGTGGTGGAAGGGAAAATGAACTGCAAAAAGATGAGGTTCAGCCTTCCTGGTCTACAGAAGGAGGATGATGGAAGTGACAAGACAACGCGCCTCGGAAATCTCATTATACCAGGCACAGCAATGTTGTACAGCATGCACATCACCGAGGATAAGGCGGGTACCCAGACCGAGAGAGCATACTTGAGCGAGGTGCGGTTCCGCCCAACGGCAGAAGGATCAGGGGGCGCAGTGGCCACGCGCTGAACGGCATGGATTCCAGGAGTTCCATCAATGAGAATATCGGATGTAACGAAAGCGAGGCGCTCGCGTTCGGCTCACTACCCGAGCATGCTGGTCGGAACCCAAGGCAAAGAGACCCAGCCACACGGAGTGTTTCCTTGTGAAATGACATGAACTGGACTACATGTTACGACTAGCTGTTCCTTGAACAGCCCCACTCCGTTGCCTTCTCTTGCTAGATGAAACGCTTTGCAGTGAAATTTTCTGCCTTATCGCGTATCTAACGTATCGAATGCTCATGCACCGCAGATTGTGTACCATACCTGGGCAACACAAGACATCGCTATCCGGACGTTGCAATCAAATTTCCGGCTTGTCACGCCACGAGAGACTCCAACAGTTCTCACAGAATCTCACAGAATCTCACATACCTTGGCACCTGGCAGCGGGTCTATTGCGGTCACTCTCTGAACGATCTGATATCGTTTGCGCGCAACTCCCGACGACCATATTTCGCTCCACTAGCGGGTCCGACATGGTGGCAACGACGGCGGTCGCGCAAACTTTCCACACGGCATGCTAGGCATCGGCATCGGGTGGAGCTGGTGTTGACAGACAGCGGCCCGTACGTTACGAAGTATAACCACCGGCACTCAACTCCTGGTCCGTGCACGCAACCACCGAATCACAGCCATGGAATTCCTGTATCTAACACTTTTCTGGACGAAATGGGCGTCAAGTGTTTCTAAACGAAACGGCGCTACGCCTGTCAAGCATTCCACACAGGAGACCAGTGTTTCGCCACATCGCGGACTGCAGTGAAGTGTCAGTAAACGACCTTGGCAGGACCCGTAGAAATCACATCTGCATTGACTTTACTTTCCGAACCAGCAGCTTCCGTGCCTCCTTTCAATGAGTCGCATGTTTTCACAAGCGCTGCTATGCTTAGAACGGCCTAAGGATCACGGTCATGTCCACTTCCCAAGCGATCCAGAACACCCACAATCACGGAAGGAAGACTGTAGTTGTCGATGAAACCTGCATCCCATCTCCTGGTATTGCTACAACGGGAAATTGTCGTCCGTTTGGAACCAGGTCACCGGTGTCTAGGCGCCTGGCTTGCATGAAGATGTTTGGTACAATGCGTGGAGGACTTTTGATATAAGAATCAGGACGACCGTCCAACATCTACAACTCACCAGCAAGCAATACATTCGTTTCAATCGCTTTCTACACTCGCTTTTCAGCACTTTACATTCGTTCCTTCACTTCTTTTTACCAATTACTACACAAGTTTCATTACTGCTAGCCAGAATGAAGTTCTCCGCCTCCGCCATCGTCTTCAGCGCCGTCGCCCAAGTGGCCACCGCCCACTACTTCTTTGACACCAACCTCATTGGTGGTGTTGCCCAGCCGCAATTCAAATACGTCCGCCCTTCCACTCGCAAGGTCGCGTACAACCCCATCAAGTTCTCCTCCAACCCGGCCGCCGACATCCGTGATGGCTCCACCGCCGACGGTCCCGATATCGTCTGCAACCAGGGTGCCGCTAAGACTGGCGGCAAGGTCCAGGTCCTGACCGTCAAGGCCGGCGACGACGTTACCGCCAAGCTTGGTGTTGGTGCCAAGTTCCAGCACCCGGGCCCTGCCCTGGTCTACATGTCCGCTGCTCCCGGCAGCGTCCAGTCTTACGACGGATCTGGCGACTGGTTCAAGATCTTCGATGAGGGTGACTGCGGCAGCGGTGACTTCACCAGCAACTCCTGGTGCACCTACAACAAGGACACTGTCACTGCCACCATCCCCAAGGACACCCCCGACGGCGAGTACCTCGTCCGCTTCGAGCACATTGGTGTTCACCGCTCCCACGTCAACCAGCCCGAGCACTACGTCTCCTGCATGCAGGTCAAGGTTACCGGCGGTGGTAGCGGCAAGCCTGGCCCCATGGTCAAATTCCCCGGTGCTTACAAGGCCACCGACCCCTACGCCAACTTCAGCATCTACAACGGCCGCAAGGCCTTCCCCATGCCCGGCCCTGCTGTCTGGAAGGGCGGTGCTGCCGCTGGTGGCTCTTCCTCTGCTCCCGCCAAGGAGGAGGTCTCCCCTGCCCCTGCCGCCCCCGCCGCCCCTGCTAAGTCCACCATGGCCACTGTCGTCGCTCCTGCTCCTGCTGCTCCTACCAAGGAGGCTGCCCCCGCTGCTGGCTGCGCTTCCATGTACGGACAGTGCGGTGGCAAGGGCTTCACCGGTGCTAAGTGCTGCGCCAAGGGTAGCTGCAAGGCTGCCAACGACTGGTACTCCCAGTGTGTCTAAGAAGCTAGCTCGTGTGCTAGATTTACTCGGAGATTTGTGTATACTTCCCATTCTTTGTGTCTATAAGCGAGGCGTTGCATTAGTGAGCCTCTGTTTTCTTGGGCACGGGTTCTCTAGTAGAACACCCCTTCAACTTTCTGCTTGCCTGGTGGATGTGGTTCAATCCTGTATCATAGCAATATCACATCATTAGTCTTTATTCCAGATTCCCTTTTCCTGTGCATTTTTCGTATGAGAGTGAATAAGAATACTGAAGACAGGTGTACAGTAATGTAAAGGTTCTTTCCATCTCTATAGCCATCTGCCCAAATTATGGGCCTTGGTATTCAGCAAAACCTGAAACGATAGAAACATGCATTAATGTCACCATTCAGAACTCGAATGGTTGACCATTAATCGACAAAGGATCCCAGTGGATTTGCATCAGTTTCAACTTTTCTTTCCAGTCTGCTTGGTCCTTGGGAAGATCATGCGCATTTTCGATGCGATCTAGTATCTCCTCGTACAGTTCAGCTGGTAGTCGTCGACCAAAAGCCAGGTTGAGATTCCGTCGATACTCTCGCCGCAAATCGCGCCACACGAGTGGTAACAAGGCATTGATGAGAGGTCCCTGGAAATGGAGGGCATTCATACCTGACAAGGACATATCAAATTAGTTGATGTGATTACATGTTTAAGTTGATATCTTACCGAATGTTTCACCCGTGATGAAATAGTTTAGATAGAGAAACGCATGGGCACAGTCCAGCGGGCGTTCTGGATACGGCTCGGCTCTGGGCTCCTGGCTCAGTAGAATTTGGAGGAATGCGTCTATCTCATCGACCGGCACGAATCGCTTGAACAAGTTCAGTCGCGCTCTTCCCAAAACGTCCATGCGCAATATGAGAGCAAGTGGAAAGGCTCTGACATTGCCGCGCGGTACCTGGGCCATTCGCTTCAACTCGAGACAAACGCGTGATGTAAAACGCGCTATGGGGATGTCGACGTTTGGGCTGAGTCTGTAACCTGCGAACCATGCGTAGTCGTCGTCGTCAAAATTAGAGTCCAAATCGTCTGAATCACTGACTTCTGATGCTAAGTCCCAGTCATCGCCAAAATAGGTATCGATAACATCCACAGCAGAGCCCAGGTATTTATGACGTCCAGGGGTATCGAGTCTTTTCATGACAGCGATCCAAAACGACGCAGCCATCTTATCTTCGCCTTTGTTTGAGAGATGTTCGTATTGAACAAGGCTGATTCTTACACCGAAACTGGCGAACAGGAGTTGACATTCCAAGTAAAGAGCCCAGCTTTTGAGTTGGAGTGGGGTCCAGTGAGACACCGGCGCATCTTCTTCTAGTGGGTTTTCTGATCATAGCAATAAGCACATATCCAATATCTTAGTAGGTGAAAGCTTTTCAAAATACCTTTGCTTGTTAGAGGCGAATCGGCCTCCCAATACCGCTCTCTGGCAAGATCCCGGACTTGGCCGGAGGCTCCTCCTTGGGTCTTGAGATCTGTACAGAGTTGCTCCAGCTCAAGCACGAGATCGTGTGTAATGTATCGCAATCTGTCATGATGAGCACACTTGCGCACCGTCTTCCACCGATCAAGCAATTGCGATTTGTCACTCGTGTCTCCGAGCTCTTTGCATACCCTCACAAGGTCTTTCAGTGTGCGCGTCTTTCGCATCTTTGGTGTCTTGCTATGAGAATCGCGTCTTTTGCGTTTGCCGTTGCCTTTGCTAGACAATTCGGCGGTTTGAGCTGAAACAGACGTAGTAGTAGGAATACCACCCGCGCTGGCGAGACGTGCCCGATTAGCTTGGATGAGTGCCGATAGTGAAGCGTTAAAAGCCTCGAGTCTCCCGGTGCCCGATGGTACGTTCGTAGATGAGCTGGCTTGCATCGTGATCGCGAAGTGGTATATATATTTAATGAATGTTTCAGGTGTGCTGAGCTGCGCGTGCGGGTCTCAAACGTAAGCTCAAATATGGGAGAATGTAGGGATCAAAACTCGTAGAGAGTGATCGCAAACATCGTGGACAAGGCCGTCTTATGACTGGAGAGACATGTTGGATACGATTGCTGTGCCGCAGTGCTGAATGCATGCTAGGCTACAATAGGCAATCCCTTGTTGCCCAACCCCGGTCCCCGCGGATGTCGACATGCGATTAGGTGGCTACCAGCTGAGCTTCATACCACGGCAGACTTCATCTGGTGGTGTTTTGGTTGTGAAGTGATGATGTGAAGAACCGTCAGTTGGGGAGGCACGCTGGAGGATAGTGTTGCTGGCACGTGCCAGGATGTGACGTCACAATTCCCGAGGTCTAGTTCATCGAGAACACGCGCCCGCCAACAGCTGGGGCATCCGCTCACTCCGGGTATGTCGAACGAATTTCCATCCTCATTCAACCTCAAAGATTTTGCAAATTACGACCGACAGCAAATGGCCTCATACTCGAGGACTACCAAGATGCGGTAGTGTCGGCGATCGCGAGACCCCACAGCCCATGCATTATCGGTAGTGCAAATGCCAACAAGTCAAGTCAATACAGCAGAAGCAGAACATAATTGCTGATCGCACGTATTGCCCCACTGCTGACCCAATCCGCCTTCTGCTAATGTAAATACTCTTTTGCCTTCGCTACCTAGGGACGAGGTCGTTTCTCGCCTGTTGTTCAATGCGAAACCAGTGAAATTCGGCGGAGTGCGTGGTGCCTGGGTCCTGCCCTAGGCTGCTACACAGCTAGCTAGCCATAAATACTACCACGGATTTCCTTAAAGAGAAAATCGGTGCAACAGCGAAGATAATCTTACTTTTCCACCACATAATGTCAACCCATAGTGTGTCCTCAGTGGCTATTACGGATCCCCCTTTTCACGGTCGCAATGTGCCTCACACCAACACGAACGACGTAAAGGCCGCTTCATTGCTAGGCCTACCAGCCGAGCTACGCCTCAAAATGTACGCCGAGATGTCGCCTCCGCTCAACGGCCATATCGCAGACTATCAATCTCTTTTCCTCTCTTGCAAAAAGCTCAAGGCTGAAGCCGAAATCGAGATTGTCCGAAACATGCAACACTTCCTCAGAGACGTAATGAGTACCTGGAACAAGACCTATGGCGCACCGCTCCGCATCAATATCCCTATTCAGGTCGATCAGATCACACATGTCGAGATCGGAATCCCGACGTCAATTCTGGATAAACCGGATATATTTGCCAGGTTTCCAGCCGCTTTTGCGCTCTTGCCTTGCTTGTATATCGCTAGTCTTACGTTCATATTCTATGACGATAAAGACGGCTGGGTGGATATCACTCCGTCTGCTCATAGAGAACGCGTCCTCAATTCTTTTCGATTTGAAGATCATTTATCAGAGATGGTGACGAGAGACATGAAGCTCTGCCTCGACAACGACACCGAGTCACCCCACGCTCCCGGCAGCAATGTCGATGAAATCAGATTCATCTGGGAAGATCAGCTGAAGTCAGTCACGAGTACTTCTTACTCTGAGAGGGTCAAGGGTCTTGGATATATGGGAGCCTATGAGCTTTGGTACCTAAGGAAATCGACAAGTTCTCGTGGCATCTTTGGTTTTTTCTGGAAAAGGAAGCAGCCTTAAACGTACTATCCAGTATCGCAAGAGGGACTTGGCTGTGTTCGCAGTTCTATATGTTATCAGCGGTCTACGCACGGACTCGATGTTTAGCACCAGTACATGCTACATCTGACTAGCAGATATAAGACATCAGAAGCTAGTGTCTCGGGGAGTACTTTCCTGTCTAGAGCCAAACGGAAACATCGTAAGCAAACAACATGAAACACCACAGTATTGTCAATACTACTAGCTTCATTGCAGCCATTCAGATTTCGAATACGCGCTGTGTTCTTGGTAGACGTTGGGCATAGAGCAAAGAACTTTGAGTGCATGGAATACAACATCGCGGTATGAATCAGCTTCTGCTCTTATCCGACTTGACCTCCAAAGCATACTTACAGCATCACGCTACGAGCATTAATAGACTAAGTGGTCAAGAACACTATGGACGCGGAAGACCCAAGCGAGCCTGGCGGTAGCAGTCGCTCCGTGCTTGCAGTTGATCGACCCACCGAGAAGCTGGACATAGCGGGTCATACTCGACCCCTCGGCAGTGAGTCAGCTATGAAGGATAGCTCACCTGCTACGAAAGGTACGACACAGTCTGCTGGGAACCTCATTAACATCACCGAGCTGTTAAGCCTCTCGTGCTTCCAGACAACCGCCACAGGAAAACCTCACTAGTGAAATCGCCTGACTTGAACGTTGGTAGCGAAGGCCCATGAAGCATACTATACTGAAATGCATGCAACAAACAGAGGCATGTAGCCGAGATAGTGGTCGAGAGCTTTTGGCTTGAATGACATGTGAAAATCAGTCTTGCCGAAACCGTTGTTTGATGAAAGCCATGACCGTCTATGACTGCTCCGCTCATGAGCTCGGGAGCAGCGTACCCGACGGTAGCGCCGCGGATCTGTAATTGTCAGAGCTCTGGAGCGAATGAACCTTAATTTACCCGGCAATATCTCCAGCTGCAACTGACACAGTAAGCAAGGTGCACATCGTGATAAGCAGCCAGGTATGGCAGGTCGGTAGTAAAGTCGACGGATGTGGGCATGCAAGTCGTGTCGTGCGACGTAGCGTGCGCGAATCGCCGCGCGCACGGAAGCGGGGCATCTCCTCCAAGCGACGGTGCTTTCCCGGGTCGATCATCATAAATAGTATATGACGGCCCCTGTGTTGACATGGGATGCCGTCCATCGCCCCTTGCTTCTGCTTCGATCATACCTACCATGGCAGACTCAGGCCAAGAGGCTGAGCCTCACGGCCTTTTTACCTTTTCACATTTCGCCGCTGCAGCAATCACCTACCTGATCGTCGCAAGTGCTTACCACTTCCTCACAGCACCATCACCACCATCGACCATACCATGGATGGGCTACGGCAAAGGCTGGATCGCCGACTTTCGCAATTTTACTGCATTGACGAAGAGCAAAGAATGGCTGTTGGCTGGTTACAACAAATACAGCCGCGACGGCAAGATCTTTGTGTTACCCGCGACGCTTGGCATGCAGGCTGAGATTGTCATGCCTCAAAGTCAAATGCGCTGGATGTTTGATCAACCAGATTCTGTACTGAGTGCGCATCAAGCGCATTACGATTCCCTGCAGGGCGATTATTCGTTCATCAACCCATACATCTTGAAAGATGCTTACCATGAACATGTCCTTCACAAGAGCCTTTTTCGAAACCTCACTGCGATCATACCGGGTCTTGAAGAAGAGGTGCCACGAACGATTGCCGACGTTTATGGAACAGATACAGAGAACTGGAAAAAGTTGGACGTCCTGGAGTCATTCATGGAGATGATTCCAGTATTGACCAACCGCATGCTTCTTGGAGAGTCACTGTGTCACGAGCCGAAATTCCTAGAAGCGGTACTGAGCTACACGAAGGACGTCATCCGCAATCAGGCTCTCATGTTTCTTGTCCCCAAAGCGCTGCACCCCATCGTCGGAACGGTGTTAAGTCTGCCTGTCAAGTACCACTACTGGCTGTCTTCGAAGTTCACAATACCCATGATCAAGCAACGTATCTCGGATTTTGAGAAGAAAGATGCCGGAGATCCTGAGTACAAGAGTTGGAAAGAGCCGAATGACTTCATCACATGGAGCTACCGAGTTGCGCAGGCCGAGGGACGACCCGAGGAGATGCAACCCGACCGCATCGCTAAGCGCGTCTTGCCCCTTAACTTCGCCAGCATACACACGACGTCGATTACCGCGTTCGAAACCATTGTCTGCATACTAGGCTGTGAACCAGAAGTTGTCGAACAGTTGCGCGAAGAAGCGCATCGCATCTTCCAAGAGGAGGGAAGTTGGACGAAAAATGCTCTTAGCCGTATGTACCGCATCGATTCTGCCATTCGCGAATCACAGCGTGCCTCACCTATCGGCCTTACATTCGTGCACCGCAAGGTTGTAGCAAAGGACGGTGTCACAACACCTGAGGGTGTGCATCTGAAGTACGGAACGCTTTTTTCATGTCCATGGGGAGCGATGGCCCTCGATACAGACATGACCGAGAACCCAGAAGAGTTTGACGCATTCCGATACTCGCGGCCGAGAGAGGAGTATGAGGTGATGAGCGCGGAAGAGAAACAAAATATTGATGCGCTGAAGCTGAAGCAAACGGGCCTTGTCACTACGGGTGTTAATCATCTTCCTTTCGGCCACGGAAGACATGCTTGGTGGGTACTCTCTAATTTCACGTTAAGATTTGTACTAACAATGATGCAGCCCTGGACGCTTCTTTGTCTCGCATGAACTCAAGATTATCTTCGCCAACTTGCTACTAAACTATGACTTTAAGCCACTTGCGGAGAAGCCCAAGAAGATGTGGGTCATCAGATACAAGGTCCCTCTGCCAGTAGAGATTGAAGTGCGTCGTAGGAAGAGTGCATGGACACCTCAGGCTACCTCATAGGAGTCGCGAAGAGTACATAGTAATACGCGACGGATTCCCGCAAACATGATACTGAGACGTTGCTGTATCAATAGAGGGTTTCGGATTCGTCATGTTGTAAATAGTAATTACACGCCCAAGGAGGCTAACCAAATGCCCAGCTCAACACCCAACTGACCCGGCTGATCATACATGACCAGATGGCCCGCCGCCTCAATCTCCACCACTTCTTTGGCACCTAGCGCCTCCCCCAGCCTATGCGCATCCTCTACAGGAATCCAATTATCTTGCTTTCCCCAGATGATCTTCACAGGAAAACTTCGCCCCACCTCTGCATACCGCCCCTCAACCTCCTCCGTACTCCGATGCGCAGCCTGACACAACTGGCGGACGAAGCCTTTTTTCCCGCCTTCTGCGAGCCACGGCGCCTTGAGCGTGCTCAGCGTCTCAGCGTCCAATGGAGTGTGTGCAGCGTTGCGGATATATGATTCGAGGATACCTTCAAAAGCCATGTCAGGTAGATTTTCGAATGCCTTGGGGTTCTCTGCCACGCTTTTGAAGAGGGGTTGGCCGAAGGGGCCGATGGCGACGACGTCGATCAGGCAGAGACTGGAGTAGCGGCAGTCGTATAGTAAGTTGGCACGCAGGCTCATTAAGCCGCCGTGGTCGTGAGCGACGACTTGTGGAGCTGTCTTCCACGACTCGGTCTTTTCCCATTGTTTGAAGAGGGCGGCGAAGGCTGAGGTTTGGCGAGCGAGATCGCTGTCTAGTCTCTCCACTTCGTTCTTGGGGTTGAAGTCGACATCAGGAAGAAGTTGTTCGATGGGTGACTCTCCGAAGCCAGGGTTATCGAAGAGGTAGACGCGGTATTTGCGTGATAGAGCGCGTGCGAAGGGTGCCCAGACGCGGGAAGACCAAGGAGTGCCATGTATAAAGATGAGTGGTTGTGATGTTGTAGCGCCCAGCGACGTCCATTTGATATTGAAGGTATGTGTTGAGGATTCGAAGTGAAATGTGTTGTTAAGGACAGTTGGGTCGCTCGATGACGGCGTCATGTTAGTGTTAGTTTTGGAAGCCAAGTACAAGATAAGTCTTGGTTATGGTATATGATGCCATTTGCTTGTGAATGCATAGACAGGTAGATGGACAGGCTTATATACTTCCCATGTACATAATATGAACGCATCGCAACCCATTGTAGATTCACTTTCTCCTACGATTGACGCTCATTCAAGATGTGCACGTCGTATCATGATTCCTGTGCTGAACAATATGCGCTTATCATACGTCGCTTTCACAGCAAGAACAATGCTATATGTCAGCAACATACCCGCACCCCTGTGTCGTTATGGAAGGCCTAACGGAGACATGTCTTCATAGTGGCCAATCAGAGACCCGCGAGCAAATATCGCAGAATATACCGAAATGATATTTCGTTTATGTACAATCACACGGAAGACAGATGCATCCTCGACAAGTTGCTAAAATTGTAAGAAATATACATATGCTATGAGATTGTTCAGCTATACTGCTACTGCCAGTACTGAGCTCCGAGCTCATCACCGAGCTTCACACGATCGCCCTCGACGATGATCTTCTTAACCACGACCCCTACCACGTCCCATTTGCTGTTCGTCTCAACAGGCAAACCAGAGTCCCTGCGCTTACCAGTAGCATCTTCATTGCCAACCTCGCGCACGACTTCCCAATTTTTATTGCCAATGTCGACAAGCCTGGCGCGTTTGTAGCTTGCGTTGGAGACCTGGCGATGGGCGACCACGAAGCCGGCCTGGTCTTGTTCCATGATCCACTTTCTGGCCTCCTCATCTTGCCAGACTTTCTGGAGTGCGGCATCGGCATCCTTGAGTAGTCTCACACTCTGCTCGTCCGCCTCGATTGTTCCAGCCTCTGTGCCCTTGTCAAGCGGCTTCTGGAGTAGGTGCGTGCCGCCGAAGCTCTCGACGAAGTTTCCGTTCTCGGCGTTGAAGAAGATGACGTCTTTATACCTGAGGAAGTCAGTATATAATACATGAGTCGTGTACATAGACTCTGACATACCATCGTGTGCCAATGTCGTCGTAGTCGCGGTCTTCGAGGGCTTTGGATGTGTACTTTGACGTCTTGGAGACGAGCTGGCCGCAGGGAACCTTGTCGGCAGGGAGAGGCTGAGGTAGAATCGCGAGCTCGGGGATGATGGAAGGAGACAGTGGGCCGTCAAGGTAGCTGGGTCGGCGAGAGTATTTTGCTGCCATCGTGAGGAGCTGTAGCTGAAGCTGTGGCGGTAATTTGAGAGTAAGTAGAGGGCAATTGAGCAGTATGATTAGCTGGAAAGTGTCTTCGAAGCAAGCTATGTAGCTGTACCCAGATGCGGAGATGCCCTCGTGAGGGGTCAGCAAGCTTTATGTGATCTCATTGTACCACCGCTCTGGTTGGCAGGAAACCCCGCTCGCCATGACCACGATCTTCTCAGGTCACGCTCATGCTACGGTACCAATTTCTGGTACCTTCGAAATCATCCCAGTGATGATGCGACGCGTACCTGCAGCGGCAGAGTGGTGTGATGGATCAGGTGGCCATGATGAGGTCGGAGGCATGGCGTGTTGTTGTACCTGACTACTCGCGTCAAAGTGGACCCGGAAGGACGCGGCCGACCATCCCGGGCTATCTTCGTCGCACACGCACGCAGCGACATGTCAAGCATCACCATCATCAACAGAAGATGCATTGAACCAGACAATCGATGAGAAGAGAGTTTCCCTTTCTTGAGCGGAGCTAGTATTCATTTTTTTTCCATCATTATTTACAGCTTTTGGCGACCCCTATGGTGATCAGCCGCGCATTCCCCAACCATAGTAGGGACTCACGGCTTCATCGCCATAGCCTTCACGAATGCCTCCATCATCGGAGGACCCTTTGCGCTGATCCCTTGCTCAATGTCGAGATCAGGATCGGCTTTACCCATCGCGCGTCTGTAAGCTTCGCGCTCACCAATGCGACCCAGCCATGCCAAAATGCCCGGGTAGTCGGTCAAGTCCATTGGCTCAAACTTGCGCATCGTTGTGAAGCACCACCCCGTCATGGTCTCGGCAGCGGTGAACTCCTCGCCTGCAAGCCATTTGTTGTTTTGAAGACGGTTTTCGATATGGCTCAGCATCTTATCACAACGTGCGACTTGGCCCTTGTAACGAGGGTCGTCTTCGCCAACCATGCCGCGCGACATGCCCCTTCTGAACAGTCCAGACTGCAACGAGCCATTCGCGAAATGAAGCCAGTAGAGGTAGTCTGCGAAGTTCTTGTCTTGTGGCTTTAGGGCCAACCGTCCGTTGCCATACTTGTGGATGATGTAATCGGTGATGGCGCCAGATTCGGCAATCTTAACGGGGTTGGACGGATCGGTAAGGTCTTCAAGGACGGGTGAAGCACCCATAGGGTAGACCGCCTGAAGCTCAGGTGGTGACAGAAGTGGCGAGCGTTTGTACAGCTTCAACTCGTAAGGAATGTTGAGCTCCTCGAGGAGCCATGGGATGCGCTCCCCTTGGCCGATTTGGAGGTGGTGAACGATAAGTTTCGGTGATGACATTTTGTGTTGGAAGGTGTAATGAAGGCTCGTATGAAGGAATCGGAGGTCTTCAACTGCTCTTATATTCCGAATATCTTCGGTCACTCGGTGATCGACGTATCCGGCGAGGACCTAGGTAGTAAGAGTAGCAAGCTCCGCTGACTCTGATTCGGCGACTTGCAGCTCAGATAGTGGAGGCTGTGGATTGTGAACTCCATTGCGCTTCGCAAACGTCGCGATTTATGTCGGATCGGAATTTAGGCATCCGCAATTTGGGTTGTCGAGATTTACGCCCTGGATCCACCAAAGTTGTAGGTCGACGGTGTGCTGACAAAATCTCAGTCACGTGTTGCTCGGCCGATCTCCGGAGCACCAACGCTGATTCGCCAGGCACAAACTCGGAGAGATTCATCACACACCAAAGGGGACTTTTCGGATGTATCGCGATGTCAGCACTACAGTTCTAGACATATGAGGAACCGGTCTTTGTTAACCCCGACATTCCGTGTCCCGTTTGCTCGATGAAGTTGAACAGGCATCGGCTTTTGCGCGACGATCTCAAACAAGAAGGCGCGCACAATGTGCCATAAGCAGAGATATTACGATCTATCTGTACTATCACAACACCACCCCTTCAGGAATGAGCGCGTCATCTGGAACACTCTCCCAATCCTCGTACACCTCTCCCAGCCGATCCCGCAGTGTCCTGTCGACCTTCTTCCGATACAGGCTGACAACACGAACAATCGCATGCTCCTTCTCATAAGCCGTCTTGACATGCGATCCCTTATACCTGAAAGTTTCGAAGATGTCTTGATCCCACTCAGTCTGATCGCGACCAATGCGTCCATAGCTGCCTGTGTACCCGAGGTTGTACTCAATCGCTCTGCATAGCATATCGATGACTGCTTCAACAAGCTCGGCGTCGGAGAGTGTTGCGAAGTTACTCTCCAAAGCGTCGTCATCACCCATTTCCTCACAACGGCGAAGGTATTCAACAGAGAGCGACTTCCAAGCTTCGTGGTCGATACGGTACAACGCCACGACCTGACGGACAGAGTACATGTAGTCTCCGAACGGTCCCTTGCAATCTTGACGATCAGATAACCCGGTTAAGCAGCCCCAGAGCGAAAAGCCGTCCAGCCAGTGCAGTTCAACCAGTCTCTTTACATGGACAAACTTCTTCGCATGTAGGCCGTCATCAGTCTCCTCCTTCTCCTTGTCGAATTCAATGTGTAGTCTTGAAGGTGGAATTTCAACCGCGTTTTCACCCTTGGTGAATGCCTGATAGAATCGCAGGAACGGGAAGAAGTCCAGGTTCCGGACTGTCCATTTGATCCACAACCCTTCTCTCACCGTGGAGTAGTAGAGGAACAGGGTTTCGGAGAAGATCGCACGATCGACATAGGAAAGCATCGGAAGGTCGTCGACTAGGTTGCCTCTGACATCGATCTCCAGGACACCTTTCTTCGTTGTCCTGTTGCCCGACCTGAATATGCCTTGGTCGTGGTTGTTTTGGCCATCTGTCACCCTCTTTGATGGCAAAGTATACATGTCGTGCTCCAGTTTGTACAAGTAGAAGGCTTCGTGGGCGCCAGCTGTAAGTCCGTCCCTCGAACGAGTTGCGAGCTTGACTCGTCTCTCTACAATCTTTTCGAGCGCAACTTTTCGGGTGGCATCTCGCACTCTATGTTCTCTAGTGGGCTTTCGCGCGCGGATATCCTTTACGCGCTTTTGCCGTATGTTGTGGTCCAAGAAAGTCTTGCTTCCCATTGATCCCCGATTAACCCGCGTTCTCTTCGTCATATCAGGGTTTCTTGTCGTCTTCTCGTTGTCCAGGCAGATGTCGTATATCATGTTGCGAAGCTCACCGGGTAGATCTAAGAACTGGAAGAACGGCTGCCTCTTCCTTCTGAGATTGTAATTCTTGACGGTCATTCCTTGCTTTTGCCGAAACTCCACCAAAACTTGGGACCACAGTATCTTCGCACTGGCTACGTCTGATCGACGCTGTTCTTGAGTCTCTGTCAATGCAGTCGCGGACCATGGTCTCTTCAACTCCTCGAGCGGAGTAGGGCACGTTGCGATAACTGCTGTAGACATCGCTGTGAAGATAATAACACACATTACCAAGACCAAGAATAGGCTTGATTATATGGCGACGAGCGCGTTTGTTTGCTGACAGTTTGCACTCAGTGTCGCTATGATTCAGGTGAAGTGTGGTGTGTGCCATTGTCATTTCTGAACAATCTGGATCTCGCAGAGCTAGTGTACGTGTTTACTACCACCCAGAACTCATTTGCTATCGTGGATGGGTTCGACTTGAGTATTTTCATGATTGCATTCGCTGTTGTACTGTCTAGCCCAGAAAGCACACTTCGTGTCGATCTGAGCTCACTTAACCGCGCGGATGAGTGGTGTACAAATGGTCGCTCATGACCTCTTTGCATTTGGTGCGCCTAGTAGATTACCAGCACTTTTGTCATTGAATCTACGATTACTTGAGTCTGCTTTGAGATTCTGCATGGGGAAGAAGAAGAATCGATACGAGAGACCTGCACGTCCAAGACAACTCCCTGCGACAACCGCTTGAGGCGGTCCGTAGTAGATCGCCCAAACAACTCTTGATCCGTAACACATGCAGCATCGTAGCCTGAGCGAGTTCACCGGTCCGCAAAACGAACAGGCTGTGGATCCGAAACACCCTGTTTATTTCCGTTGGTAGCATACTTTCTTTTATTTTCTAGCGTGAAATGGTATCCATGATTTTTCGCGACTTTGTTTACGGCAACTGCGAACTCTGTGCATTTTTCGCATATCGGCTCGCTAACATTGATGATGATATTCTTGAGTTCTGTGCAACTCTCCTCGATAGGAACTATTGGCGTGTTGACGAAGTCTTCTAGGCTGTATCCCGACTCCGAAAGAGTGCGGGTGATGTAAAAGGCCATCAACTGTGGCTCTACATGAGTAGCAAATCCTTTCTTCGTTTTGATGTTGACCATCTCGGCAAGGTCTTGAGCTTTGGAGGTCCAATGGTCACTATTAATGAAGTCGCCAAAATCCTCTCGCGTCTTCCCAGATTTAGCGTTGTACAGGCGTCCATCCAGTCTCAAGCAGCCAATAGCGGCTCTGTCCCAACTTGTGACGGTTCGAGAGATGTATTTTGGCGTGAAGGTGAACGTCCTAGAAAAGACAACCTGCACTGTCAAATCGCCCTGAGGATTCCTTTCGAAGTGTATGTCGTCAGGGATCGTAGAGCATCTTCCGTCCAACTCTTGCAACTCGCTATCGCGCTGCTCGAGCTGTAGCTTCTCGAGCTGTGTCTGCTTTAATTCATCCTCACATTTTCTGAGTCTCTCCCTGAGTACGCGTCCTTTTTCAAGACGTTTCATTCGTTCATGTCCGATATTTCGCAGTTCTTCCTGTGCCTGGGCAAGTTGTGACTTGACAAGGGTAATACTGTCTGCCCCTTCCTCGTGGGAATCAACTTGTGAAAGCTGAGGAACCTTGGAGGGGGTGATACTGGCGAAATCGCATGCGCGATCATCCTTGATGGATTCATCGAGAGAACTGTTGCCTGCGGGTATGCTTGCAGGCTGCTTGTCCAATGCAGAACCGGGTATCTTATCGGTTGGGGGCTCTACATAAAGCCTTGTCAAGTTCGCGGTAACGATCTCTACTTCTGTCTCGGTCATTGATGCGTAGAGTAGTGTGGAATGTTCCGTGATATTAGGAGTCCTATCTTCTATCGTTCCTGGAGAAGAGATGAAGAAAGATGGGAAGAAGTAGAAGTTCAGCTCAGCCTCGTGCCTTTCCCCTCATCTGAGGCCGCCCTTTACCAGTGCAGCCATATGCATGCGCTGACGTGCGTGTCATCCTGCCTATGGAATACGCCTTTAATGCGAGGTAGAGTGACACAACATACCCTTCCCTCGTTACAGTACCGAGAGGTGCTTCGCGACTGGCCATCTTTGGCTAGTTGGCTATGCATGCTCGTATGCTGACATGCGTCTGCCGAGACAGTTCAAAAACCGGTCAGTGCATTTATAGCCAATGGAGACCCTGAAATCTTGACAGATTATAATCGACGAAGAATGATGGTGGAAGCGCGATGGTAAGGTGGTCAAGGTCGGCCCATCCATAGATAGCGCCGGAGTGGCGACGGCCCCACCAACGCCTCGCGTCAGTCGCGCAACAACCGCTGCAGGGTAGCAACGACCTCTTGTATCACAAACCCCACAACATGGCGCGAGGCAAACTAATAGTCTTCGAAGGCCTGGATCGAGCAGGCAAATCAACGCAATGTCAAATGCTCGTTGATGACCTGCAAAATGACGGGATTAAGGTGCGGCATATGCGGTTCCCTGGTACGTGCGCGTAAATAGTGAGCCATTCGCTGGCGCGTGGATGCACGTTGAATCAAACTGAGTTGGAGACTAACAAATGGCTTAGATAGAACGACACCGATTGGTCAAATGATCAACAGCTACTTGAGTGGTCAGAGCGAACAAGACGACCATGTCATACATCTCCTGTTCTCTGCGAACCGGTGGGAAGCAGTGTAAGCCAAACACGTCCATCTACATCGCAACACAAATATCTCAACGTATACTCCAGACCCTCCATCCAAGCCGACCTCGAAGCCGGAACGACCATCATCGTAGACCGCTACTACTACAGCGGCTGCGTATATTCCGCTGCCAAGCAAAACCCCAGCATGAGCCTCGAGTGGTGCCGGAAACCCGAAGTCGGGCTTCCACGTCCTGACTTGTGTCTCTTCCTCGACATCTCCGCTGACGACGCTGCGAAACGAGGCGGCTATGGTACTGAGAAGTATGAGAGGAAGGATATGCAGGATCGAGTGCGCGAGCTGTTCGAGACGATGATGCAGAAGAAAGAGGGCGAGGACTTTGTGCGCATCGATGCGGGCGAGAGTATGACGGATGTAGCGGCAAAGATTAGACAGGAGGTTGATAGGTGTATTGAGCGGGTTGCGAAGAGTCAGTTGCCTCTAGGGACGGTGGAAGGGTGGTAGATGTTCTCGTCCAGGAATGAAGCAAAATCACTTGTCCTCGTCGTCGTTCAAATTCTCCCCCCATGTCTCATCGAGATCTTCGTCCATGTCAACCTCGAGTTCATCAATGTCTGGAAACTCATCCGCATCCTCTTCGACTGTTCCATCCGACTTCTTCTTCCGCTTTGTTTTTAACATTACTTTCAGATCTTCTTCGCCATACATGCGTAGACTGAGCTCTTTCATCAGGTCTGACCATCTTAGCGAAGTATGGCAGCTTGGACATGTCCCTTGGATTGGAATGAGTGCATCTGCATTGCTCTCCTCTGCGAGGAATTTCCGTGACATGCAGGCCATATGTGATACTGCGCGACACGTTTCTACCGGGCAGACTAGCACAAGCGAGTCCTCAGCACTCATGCCTAATCTGCAAACACCACAGGTTCGTTGTTGGCCATCTCCCAGAATGTTCTTCGACTTCTCGACATGTGCCTTGCAATCCTCGTATGCAACAGGGATCGCTCGTATTATTTCTGGAATGAAGTGCGTTCGCATCTCGCTCTGTACATCCGGTGCAAGTTTGGGCAGCTCAGCCGGCGTCACTCTGATGGTAACGTCCTTTCGTAGCTTCGTCTTCATTTTAGAGATATGTTTCTCCCATTGCGCGAACACGTCCTGGGCAAAGAAACGGATGTTCAGCGGCCATCGGCTGAAACTCCCGACACCTAACAGATGATGCAGATTCTTCAGCCGCGCTTCCAGTGACATTGGTGGTCGCGGTCTTTTGACTGGTGATGGGTTCTTTCTGCCTTTTTGAAGCTCCTCCAGCCTCGCGTCGCGCACCTCACGCTCTATGTGTCGGGTGGCGTGCGTGTTTTGCCACGCCCATTCGAACTGCAACGCGGCGGCTCTGGAGGGGAAGCCAGTAACGATGCACGTCATCTCCCACGGCCGCTTCCCCTGCATTGATGTACGCTTCGCGCCGCCCTTGCTTGAGCCATTGTGCTGGCCTAGACGACGCGCCGGATTGGGGGTGCTGCCGATGTAGAAGGCTTTTCGGTTTTTGGAGCGGAGCAGGTAACAGCAGTAGAAGGCTGGGATGGGCCGGCTTTCGATTTTGACAGAGTCGGCCATGATTGAGTTCATGACAAAGATGAAGTCGTGATGTTATTGTTGATCGCATCCAAAAGCGTGCAGCCGCCAGTTAGGGCTGACGGGATGGTGCAGATGGAGTGTGTTGTGATTGGTGGGCTGGGGTGCTTCCCGACGAGACAACCTTGCTACCGACCTCACCTGCAGCAGTTCAGGCGTCGAGGTGAATTTAACTCAGAGATAGAAAGACCGCGACAGTATATGATAGGAATGCGCGATGCTGCTACTGTTACGCTTGTTGTTTCGAGATCCGGTATGGTGATGCAAACAAGTGGCGAAGATGGCCGTGCATGTGTTCACAGTGGAAAGTAAGAAGAAGTAAGTCGCAATGGAGAGCATCTGAGTCAGATCAATATGTGCTTGTTCTGGGAGCCAATGTAGTTCGCTGGTCGTCATCATGGTAGAATGCGGCGCAAAAGAAAGGCCGAGGAGGTGAGGTCGGCAGCCTTGCGTGCAGTCGCCAGATCGGCACGACGTAGCTCTCAGACTTCACCACACGACTGCAGTCCAAGGTGGCATCTCGATGCCGCATCAATGCGACGAATGTATTGACTTGAAATGCTCTGTATGTCTCCATCGATGTGACGCACAGAGTCGAAGCGTCGTGCATAATATTAGCCGTCCCTGCTGCACCAAGCTTTCGACGTTCTGGGTTCGGTACCAGGTTGGGCGGGCGTGATATGCATCCGCCGTTAGCGGGAATCTCGCACCCTTCAGCGGACCCATCCATCCTCTCCATATCTCCTCCACCTCGCCTCGCCAACCTCGCTGTGCACGTGCTGCCACAACCACGACGGTCGCTAACAGACAACTCTCTAGCCGCACTGGCATTTGCCTCTGTTTCGAGTGAATTGCACAGTCCAAGCGGCCGAAAGCGGTCGCCTGCCGCTGTAGAGGCCCCATGCCTACGCCTATATCTCTTCGATAGCGCCCACCACCGACCGAATCACGCCCGACGACAATCGCTATACCTTCCATACCATCTCGTATCTCGTTACGAGGCTGCAATTAGGGCTGCACGCAGCGACAGCGCTTGATGCATGAGCACGAAGACTATGGTCGATTTCATGCCCCCCGGCGGGCCCCCAACGGGCGCCACTATGACTACCTTTCGAGTTGCCACGGACAGTGGAACGCCTGACGCAGCAGCTGGCGCATCAAAATCTAGAATGGGTGGTGCTGCGGTGCCTGCAACGAATGGTGCGCAGCCGAGTGCGGCCAGCACGATTCCTCTGAGCGCGCGCAAGGCAGCGCCGCTGGATCTCGCTACCGTGGAGCGCAGAGGACATGGAGCGCCAAACCACCTGCCACCCAAACAGAACCGTCTTTTTGGCCTGCGCGAATCTCCGACATATCGACCGACAGCCGAGCAGTTCAAGGACCCGGTGGCATACATCCAAAGCATTCGCGAAGAAGGGCAAAAGTACGGCATCGTCAAGATTGTCCCACCAGACAGCTGGAAGCCACCATTCGCTATCGATACTGAGCGCTTCCACTTCCGCACGCGGCGACAGGAACTCAACTCGGTTGAAGGTGGCACGCGTGCCAACTTGAACTATCTCGATCAGCTCGCCAAATTCCACAAGCAACATGGCCATAGTCTCACTCGATTTCCGAGCGTGGACAAACGCCCCCTGGATCTCTACAAGCTCAAGAAGGCCGTTGAGAAGAGAGGTGGATTCGAACGTGTTTGCAAGCAGAAGAAATGGGCTGAAATCGGACGCGACCTTGGCTACAGCGGCAAGATAATGTCTTCACTGTCGACATCGCTCAAAAACTCGTATCAGAAATGGCTACACCCATACGAGGAGTATCTGCGACTCGTCAAACCTGGTGTGCAGCAGATGCTGGAGTACGAGCATGGCGGACCCTTCACACCGTCACCAGCCCATTCGCCGATAAAGAAATCGCTGCAGGGCACGCCTGTCGCCAACGCTACCGAGTCACCGGCTATGCGAGCCTCAGCAGCGCTGAACGCGACACTGCAGGGTGACTCTGTGCCAACTCCACCACCAGAGCTCTCACGACCTGCCATGCAGGGGGGCTTCACGCCGGTGAACTCGGGAGGCTTCACAGCGGTCAATGCGAACTCAGCACAAAAGCCGTCTACGCAACCCTCTACACCTAGTGCTTTTACTGCGGCCAACCCACCGAGCGCTTTACATCGAGATGTGCTGGAATCGCGCACGTCAACACCTTTGCGCAATGCTGGCAGTCCCATGCTCTCAGCTGACAACACCCCGGACTTCAGACCGCCTGGAGCCGGCTTGACCCCGCTAGCCAATGGGCAGCATTTCAACCAACTGAAGCGAACCTTCTCTCAGGATCCGGAGAGTAGTGCAAACGACGATGTGGATGAGGCAAACGGGCGGCGTAGCAAGCGACTCAAAAAGGATGCTCCTCCTACCGTAGCGGGTTCACACATGACTCAGCCTCGCCAGTCGACCCCCAGTCGAACTTTCCCACGCGTTCGATCAGCCGACGACAGACCTGGCGACCGATGCGAGACTTGCGGTACCGACAATGACC